TGGACTTCTGGTTTCGCGAGGCCGCCGGGCCGCGGGAGGACCAGGTGCCCTCTGCGGCGGCGCAGCAAGAGCCCGACCTGAGCCCCTCCCACGTCCGCTCCTCCCGGCCCGCCCCTCTGGGCTCGGCTCCGCCCCTCCCGGCCCGCCCCTCTGGGCTCGGCTCCGCCCCTCCAGGCCCGCCCCTCTGGACTCGGCCCCGCCCCGCCCCGGCCCGCCCCTGTGGACTCGGCTCCGCCCCTCCCGGCCAGGCCGAGAAGCCTCCCGCCGAGCGCGCAGCAGCCCTGGTGCCGGGCGCAGGTGAGACGTGGGGGATCAAGTTGCAGAGCCCGGTGCGGACGAGGGAGGGAGCGGGCCTGACTGCACGCCCCCGGCCCTCCGAGGCCCTCCAAGGCCTCGGCCTCCCTGGCCTGAGGATCGCTGTGCACGTGGAGGGCAGACCTGGCCCCACCGCGGACTGTCTGTGGGGCCTCAACTCCTGCCCAGCTCTTGGTGGCGCTTGGGGACAACTTCAGGGACAGTGACTCCCTGGCAGGGTCCCTCTCCTCTTCTCTGTTTTATTTATTTAAGGCTGGACACATCAACTCGCACCCAGAGGTGGGAACCACTGGCCAGGCCCTGACCAGTTTTTTGTACCCAAGAGGCTTCAGCCCCACCAGGACGTGCCCTTTGTAAGTGTGGGGTCTTCAGAGGTGCTTTGGGGGACCAGTCTAACTTTTGCAGGTGCTGCACGGAGGACTTCCTGTGCTCGATCCTGCCCCACCAGCTGGTGGAACCTCTTGAGGCCCCAGGGCTTGACAGAGGCCCCTGATAGGCTTCTCTGGCTCTCCCTGTGCCTGTGGGGACAGACACCCAGTGAGGGAAGCCCTCCAGAACCCCGCCTATCGGCAGCTGGTGGCTGTGTCCAGTCAAGATGACCTGGGAGCCACGTGTCCTGCACCAGTCAGCAAATAACAGGATCCTACTATTCCAGGATGGAATCTACTGCTGGGGTGGTTGGGTGTGTGTGTGTGCACTCTTCTGGGCACCCAGAGAAGCCTGAGTGGGCAGGTGGGGTGGCTGTGGAGGTAGCACTCTCCCTGATAGTGTTGCAGGGTAGCTGCTACAGCTCCAGCCATGACACCAAGGGAGGAAGAAGATGGCTGTTAATTTCACAAAAGCAAAAGCCCCCCCCCCCCCCCGCCCCAGCATTTTGCCTGCCCCTGGCGACCAGGGCTGTTAAGCTGATCAACCCAGATGTGCTCATGACATCTGGGCCTGGAGCAAGAACATGGCTGCCTGAAACAAGACTGATTCTGCCCACTAGGAGTAAGGCATGAGCGTAGGACCACAACCCCTCTGCCTGACACATTTCAGAAAGCAGAACTGGCACTCCAGTGACATCTGGCCCCTGTGGGTCTGAGGGTCAGCCCCAGCAGAGTTCCCACCTGAAGGCTTGGTGGCTTTGGGGACTGGACAGCTGGGTATTCCGAGGCTTGGGGCTGACTCCTCACGGGACAGCAGCCTGAGGACAGCAGGGCAGCCCAGAGAAGGTTGAGCGTTCCCACTGTAGGGCCCTCAGCTGCTGTGCACCCAGGTTACCTAGCACCCCGCTTAGGTAGGTAACAGAAGGTCAGAGGCCAGCCGGGTGCTCTGTGAAGTGCCCGCAGGCCCTCCACTTCAGTCCCAGCCCTCCTCCCTGTCTCTGGGGCACAGGACGGGGCTGAGTGCTGGAGGGCAAGACAGTCCTGCAGAAGGCAGAGCCGCAGGAGCTGGGTGGCCTGCTCCAGCACCCGGCCGTCCCTCCACCCTCCGACCTGCCAGGGCTCTTGGAGCCCCTGGATCCCCAAGCCTGGCAGAGGGTGGGGGAAGGGCAGAGGACACAGCTGCTGTCCTGAGGCTACTAGGCCTCCTCCCCCACAGCCTGGCTGTACCAGCCAGGGCCCCTGCTCCATCCCTTTCCTAGCCAGCCTTTCCAGAGGTCAGCCCTGAGGCCTTATCTGGCAGGGCTGGGAGACAGTTATCAGCCACCGGAGCTGGCCGTAGTGTCCTCATCCCTGAGGGCAGCACCAGCTGTGCTGGTCTCCCTTGATAAATGCACTGTGGAGGCCAGGCCCCAACGCCCCAGGGGGCCCTTCTGGGTGGAAACAGGGCCCACATTCCTGAGGGCAGGGCTGGGCAGCCTCTCAGCCTCCTGGGTTGGAATTCCTGCTTGGCCTAGCCCTCCCCATGTGACCTTGGACAAGTTACTAAACTACCCCGACAGGTCAGGTGAGACCAGCCCATCTTAGTGTCCCTCCTCCCTGCAGAAAGACCATCCCTAACTGCAGCCCAGACAAGGCCTGGCCACTGCCCTGCAGGGGCTGTGCTTTGGGGTGACGTCAGAGCTCTGCCTCCGGCCCAGCTTAGGCACCACAGCATGCAGCCCCACGAGAGCAGTGTCCACTACAGCAAGTGGGACGACAGCAGCAGGGACGAGGTCAGCGTGGCTGCTGTGTCCAGCACAGAAGAGGCCTCCTGTGGCAGGAGGTGAGAGGCTCTGGGAGAAGGCTCCTCCCACCTGTCCATTCACGTGCCCGCAGCCCTGGGCCTTCCACTGGGTGGGCTCTTGGGATGGGGCATCTCCCGGCTTTAGCAGAGTACCCAGGCCTCCCTTCACCTGGCCCTCCTGACGCTGGCCACCCTCCCTCAGGTCCTCCTCCCCTCCCTCCCCCAGCTCGCTTGGGTGGCCCCTCCAGGGCTGGCCTGGGGCTCACCTCCCAGCGGCTCTCACCCTAGGGTCGCCCAGAAGCTGTGCTCAGGCAGGCTGGGGATTGCCATGAAGGTGCTGGGCGGAGTGGCCCTCTTCTGGGTCACCTTCATCCTGGGCTATGTCACAGGCTACTACGTGCACAAGTGCAAATAAAGGCTGCCCCCCTCGCAGCCAGGCTGACCACAAACGCCGGGGATCTTGGGCTTGGAGGGACAGAACCCTTCGTGGACATGGACCTGAAGGCACAGGGACACAGACCTAGGGGCAGAGCCAGCTCATAGGCATCCGGGCATAGGAAAATGCTAGTGTGCATGGTTGTCACGGGCCCCACCCAGGAGTGCCCAGGTGGACAGCTGAGGATGCATGTGCCACGCGGCCCCAGCACATGGGCCACGTCCCTCACAGGCAGCTACCCAGGGGCACACAGAGCTGGAGACTGGGCCCTGTCAGCCTGGCCAAATCCCCAGAGTTCCCTGGGCAGCTGTCCTCCCTAGCTAAGGGCTTCCCTCGTCAAGACCAGGGTGGGGGTGCTTTCTAGAGACCATGGGGGTCCTCCCATGGGGAAGTGCAGACGCATGGCCCTGTGCTCTCTGGGCCTGACTCCTGGTTTGCAAGGAGGCTCTGAAAAGGACGGTGGCCCCCTGTGCACCTGTCCTGAGAGGTGGAGACCAGCCCCAGAGGCTTCCTGTGTAGAGTGGGGTGGGCCCCTCAGCAAATGAGGTCCCTGTTGGGCAACCCAGCTCCCAGGGCAGCTGCAGGAGGATGGTGGTGGTGTGCCCACCGGTTGGCTTCGCCCCAGCAGGGCCTGCTTCTTTCCAGTGCTTGGTGTGGCCAGGAACCTGGCACAGAGCAGTCATCACAGGTCTGCTGGACCAACAGCAGGAGGCACCGCCTGGCCAGGCATGACTCGCGGCCAGGACTGTGTGGAGGACCTGCTTCTCTTGCTGCGCCTTCTTGCTACCATCCTGTCTGGTTCTTGGCCTTGAAATGTGTCCCGTCCTGGATGAATCCTCTTGTAGGGACACGGGCAGGCCTGAGCCCAGGATGTGGCTGGTCCTATTCCGTCCACCTGACACATGGGCCAGGCCCCGGCTGCTCCGGGGCCTGCTGCCCACCTTGAGAACCTTCGTCCCTCCTGGTACCTGCTCCTGCTTCCTGGGCTGTGTGCTCTGCCAGTGTGTGCCACCAAGGGCGCTGCCAGAAGCGTCCCTGCAGGAAAGTGGTCTCACCTGCCCGGGCTGAGAGCGGGAGACAATGAGCAGCTACGGGGCTTGGGGTCAGGGAATCAGAAGGCTGAGGCCCTGCCAACCTCCAGGCTGGACCCCCACCCCCCAAACTCCTAAAACCAGAGGGGCCCGGCCAAGCTGGGCAGGAGGGAGGCCTTGCCCAGCTTTGGGGAGGGCCGGTGCAGCTGCTCTCCCATGCCCCTTGCTAGGGCTCTGAGGAACGGGTGAGGCTGTTCCACAGGCCTCTCCAGGCAATGACCCTCCGACGGGAGCCTGCAGCAGTCCACTCCAGTGGCCCTGGGCCTCAGCTCCAAGAGACCCCCGGCCATACCCAGTGCTGCCTGGCTGCACGCTGGGGAGGAGAGGCAGCAGCTGGAGGCTCTCCCTGGAGCCCTGTGGCAAGGGGCACAGGCTGCTGGGTCAGCACTCTGCTCCAGAGGTCTGGGGTGGGCCAGGGCTGTGTGGCTGTGGGCAGGAGTAGTGTGCAGATGGTGCCAGGAGGGACAGCCCGTGGACAGGTGCCTTCCTTGCAACAGGGGACCAACTGGGAACCAAAGGAAGGGCAGCAACGGGGCTTCGCTAGCTGGCCCAGCCCTGCGCCCCAAAGCCAGTCCCATGGCCCTAGCTCACCCTCTGGCAGCCCTGACACTCAGCCTAGGGACTCCAGCCAGCACCCTGGTGCCCACAGCCTCACCGGGCCACCTCCATAAGTGACCCGAGGCTCCAGGCCCTCCCTGACCCTTGTGGTCATGAATTTGGGTTCTGGGGCTTTATGGTCCTCGGAGAGTTGGGAGAGCATGACAGGACCCTGCAGAGCAGTCCCTCTGCCCCCTCCTGGAAGATCTGCTGGACTGGCCCGAGTGAGTGGCTGCCTGGGCGAGCCCCAGTGGGGTCCAGATATGGGTGGGGACAGCCAGGAGCAACTGCATGGGCCCTGGTTCCCAGATTCCCCATGTGGGCCACTGTGGGCTAGCGTGGATTTTATGCACCTCCACAAACAGCCTCTGGAAGCAGTAGTAGAGGGTCACTGAGCACGGATGGAGGCATTTCTTAGGAAATGTTTTATTAGAGATGGCCAGGCAAGGACGGTGTCGGACAAACTTCCTCTGAACACTCCAAACCTCATGGTACTCGGCTGCGTCCTCAGCAGCCTGGGGAGTCAAGGCAGCTCTCCTGGGCCTCCTAGCAGGTCAGAACCCTTGCTAAACACACCCCAGCAGCCTTGATGGCCTGACAGCGACTCATGAGACCACATGCAGGGCCATTGACACAGGTGTGACACAGGCTTTGGGAGGACAGGCCCCAAGGGAAAGCTATGGTCTGCAAGCCCACTGTAGCCAGCCTGGCCACTGGATTAGCCTGAGCCTGGTGGACTGGCCAGCTGGGCTGGAGCTGTAAGGCAGCCAGCTCATGCCTCTAAGCTCTGGAGCCACCCACCTTTGTTAGGAACCCACCTGGAGGGACCTTGGGTTTCCTACAAATCCTCCAAAAAAATCACCAGTCTCCTCCGTGAGAGAAAAACTGTCCCTTATGTCAAAGGCTACCAAAAGAAGTATCATGAAATAAGATGCTGATGTGTCAGGTGCTGCTCCTCAGCCAGAACCGAGCAGTGAGGCCACAGGACCTCTGGACCAAGCACTCTGGCTCCAGGGAGGGTGTGCATGTGCCAGGCAATAAACCCACACATGAAACAGCCTTCACAACAGAACCCACCTGAAGGCCCGACACGGGAAGCCACTCATCCGACGCTAGAACTTTATGATGCCTTCTCTGGTCACCGCCCATGCCCTTTAGCAGGCCAGGGACCACTGACGGCTCATGAACAGAGCTGTCCTATATGCCCACCCACGCCCCACATTCCTCTAGGGCTAGGTATGACAGCTGTCCATAGCTGTAGTGCTGCTGCACCAACGATGACCAGCCCCCATTCACCCCACCTTTCCTGTCCCAGCTGTGCAGAGCCCACAGACCTGGGGCTGCTGATCCTGAAGGTCCCGTATAGCTCACAGCCGTCAGGCGCCCCACCAGCCAACACTGAGAAAAAACACTGCTTGTTCTAAATTTGTGTTTAAAAAACTTTTTTTTTCCCCTTTAAATAAAAAGATTAAAGTCATGTAAGCTGGAAAACATGACATTCTGGCACTACTGGCCCAAAATGACTTAGAAAGACTACATCATAGAAAAATAACTGCAGTTCAGTTAAACGCATGTTGACCAGCTGTCCAACTGACTTTGGCATACTCACACCAATCCCAGGGTCTCAGTGGGCCTGCATGATTTGGAACATGCTGAGTAGCTACTTCTGGTATTTGAACAATTCCATGAAAACCTGCAACATCAGTTTAGTGTTGTGAAGACAACACAGCCATCACTTTACAACAGAATCACTGGATAAAGCAAACAAAGACACACCTAACAACACGGAGGTGGGAACATACTGAATAACTTAGCGTCACTCACAAACCCCGTAAAACCAGGCACACGCGACGGATGGCCTGGTGGCCTGAGCCCAGTTTGGCCTGTCAGCGAAGGACGGTAACATGGGGAGGAGCTGCAGCCAGGTCAGCCTTGGACGGGTACACCACCTTTAAGCTCCCCTCCAGGTCCACCACGCGGACCTGCTCCACCACCAGGGGGGACTGTCCATCCTTCCCAGCACCAGGATTCACTTGAGGATCTGAGAGTTGTCCAGAAATTGCATCAGCTTCCGTATCCGAGAGTGATCCTTCCTCTTTATTTTCTGAAGTGTATTTGTTCATTTCTGCCATTTTCTGAAAAGGAAAAAGTGATGAGAGGTGGCCCAGGCCACTGGGCCCCTGCAGGCAGCTGTGCAAGGACGGACAGTGACGCTCTCCCGAGGCTGGGCAGGGCTCACCAGAATGAGGGTGTCCATGACATCTTTGCAAATCTGCAGACTAGTGGCACTGGTCACTTCCAAGAACAGATCACTAGTCGTCTTCTTAATCTTAAAAGGTCAGATTCCAGAAAAGAACAGAGTTATCCAGAGCAGACGCCAGCAACCAGCACGGCATTGAGGAGAGAGCTGTAGAGCAGAGCGGCCCTGAACCACGCCCCGGCCTCCCACCGCCAAGGCAGCCCGCAGCTCCAGGGAGGGCGGGCCTGTGCCTGGTGGTCTGCATCTCCACAGGGTGCCGGAGCTGCCGGGAAGACACCCACATCCCGGTGTGCCGCCCTACCTTTGTCTTCTCACTGTTCGTTATTGGTGGGAAAGAAATCACATCTCCGTCTGCGTCCATGAGACAAGGGTAATTCTCCTTCCCGTCCAGTAAGTGAAGGTACCTGCATGGGAAGGAAGACCTATTACAGGCACCTAAAAGCTAAACTGGCCACATGCCCTGATCCCACTGACTCGGGAGGCTGAGGTAGGAGGACAGCCTGGGCAACTGAGGGAGGCCCCGTCTCAAAACAAAATAAACAGGGCTTTGTGCGTCAGGTGCAGGGCTTGCCTAGTACAGGCGAGGCCCTGGATTCGACACCTAGCACCACTGTAAAGTGCAAACAGGCTAAATTGGATTAAACCAGAAAGTCGTCTAGACGCACCAAACACCACTAAGGCACAAGTTCTGCCTGCTCCAGACGGCCGCGCACGCAGGAGTAGCCGATGCCCCACACCTCTGTTTGCCAACAGACCCCCCAGCGGTGCCCGAGGCTGAGGGAGCTGTGGGTTTGACTGGCAATTTACATCCTGTCCTGTCCCAGGGGCCACCCTGCTTCTGTCAAGCATCCACACCCGGCACCTGCCAACTCCCCCTGGAGCAGGCTACTTCCCACGACGGGCCTGGGTCCACGCAGGTGAGAAGGCCTCACATCTCTTTCTGAGGGAAGTCTGGGGAGACTGATTTTCTGTTCTACACCTTTGAGAAAACTCAAGTTCTGGCAGCTTTAAGAACCTGCTGAGGAATAAGCTGACCAAGTGGTGGCCAGAAATGCCCACGGAGCTGGCGGACCCACCGGTGCAGCCCCGAGACGCTCTGCCTCTTCTTCTGCTTCCGCTGCTCCTCAGCCTCCAGCTGCAGCTGCCGCACCAGCTCCTTGGCCTTGGCTTCCTTCCGCCCCAAGGGGACAATCTGTCAGGGAGAAACCCAGAGGCAGTTCGGACAACAGCCCACTGTATTTACGCATCAGTAATCCTCCACCCTCCCCTGCTGACCTCCAGAGAGCTGCCCAGCTGCCCGAGTGGAAATCACACTGACCAGGAAGGAGCCTGCCTGCCAAGCCCCACATGGTCACTGTGAGGACCTGTGTGCAACGGTCTCTCTAGCCACCCCACTGGGACCTGAGTGCCTGACGCTCAGATTCCTCTGAAGCTGGGCTTCTCCTCTAACCCGGCTAAAGCACAACTGTTTCCAAGTACGCAGGGCCTCAGAAGGCCAACAGAGAGGTGGCACTTGGCAGCCAGAGGGAGCTAGGTCAGACACACAGCCTGGGCAGGAGGCCCTCCACCTGCTGAGGACACAGGCGCAATGCACAAAACTAAACAGACCAGGGCGGCACCTTGATTTGACAACTCACACTCAAGTTGGCCCACGGTGGCACTTTTGGGTAAAAGTGAACAAAGGAAGGAGACCTCTTTAGAGTCCCATCCCCCCAGGAGTCTGGACAGCTCCACAGCTGCTCCAAGAGTGGTTGCAGCAGGCATGCTCCCCACTCCACTCTGCACATGCTGACCACTGTGGAATGCCTGGCTTCAAGCCGTGAGCACCGCATCATGTGGAAGGACACCAAGGAGAACCTGGAGACACAGACCGAGTGGGCAGTGAAGGCACCTTGAGGTCCTGGGGTGGCCGAGTGGCATACAGCAAGGGTCCCCGCAGGGCACGCAGGTCATGGGTGGCAATGGTGGCTGCCGTCCTCTTCCCACAGAGGTCTTCATGGAGTCTGGTCTGCAACACGACAGTGAGACTGTAGGCCTCAGTGGCCCCGGCACCCCAGGTGTCCACATGCCCTGACCAGCCCAGGCCCCACACCTGTCCGTGCCTCACCTGCTGAGCGTTTCTCAGGGAGCAGGGACAGCAGAGCTGCCTCATCTGCTCCCTGGGGCCTTGTTTCTTTCTCTAATTCTAGAACATGCATCTGAAGAACCCACCTTGAGCTAAAACTTGTGGCTGAAAAACCAGAAGCCAACAAGGAAAACTGCCCAGAAGCCTCCCTCGGGCAAGGAGGGGCTCTTATTTTAAAAGCTGGGCAGACTCACAGCAAAACAGCACCCAGGAAACAGGGCTGGCCGGCACCCGAGCACCTCCCATGAGCTCCACGTGCGACTCGGGTGGAGTCCCAAGACCCACTGTCTTCAGCCAGCAGCCTGAACGAACTGCAAGGCTGAGTCCCGGAGCAACGCAGAGGCCGGCCACCCGCCTGTCCAGCTGTTCAGTGGCCCTGGGATGTCCTCCCACACCCACCCCATGTGTCGAGCCAGTGCCCCCACCTGGGAGGTCAGGAAGCGCTTGAGTGCATTTCCGGGCCGTAGGTCCATGCCCCGCACGACAGCCCCCACGATGTACGGCCGCACGTCCCTAACCTCGGGGCTCACTCTGACCGTCAGGGGCGAGGGGTTTTCAGAGACATGGAGGACCCTGAGCAGCAGCCTGGCGGCATCGGTGGCCTCCTCCTCCCCCTCGCCACTCTCCCGCCTCTGCTTCCGCTCCCGCCTCTTCTTCCCGCCGTCTTCCTTCTCAGCACCCTCTGCCCTGCCCTTGCCCCGGCCGCAGCCCCGGCCGCCAACACGCAGGTACTCCAGGATGGACTTAGTCTGGCAGCCGCTGACCATCTTCTCCAGGCGCTTGTCTCGAAGCTTGTTTCCTCGGAAGTTGACCTCCTTGAGCTTGGGGCAGTCGGCCAGCTCAGCAGGGATCTCGCTTAGCTGGTTGTTGGAGAGATCCAGGGTCTGCAGAGAGAAAGGCAGCACACTGGCCAAGCTGGAGAGGACCTGTGCACGGGCTCCCACGACGGGCACCTGGGTCAGCGAGAAAGACCCAGCAATGACCGCCCCACCCCTGCAACCTGCAAGGACAGCACCAATCCACGGTGCTTCTCCAGCAGGGAGTGGCCGGCAGGACAGCACCTCTGAGAACTCGTCCTGCTCCACTAAGGTTGTGACAACTGCTCCAGGGTCCAGGCTCCATCATTTAGTGGCAGGAAAAGGGAACAGGGAGCGGGACCTGGCTGGGGATGTACCCTGCTTCAGGAACAAACCAGTAATTCTTCCCAGAGAAAGTTCCCCTCAGGGGGCTATTTTTTTTTTTTAAAGGGCAACAACAAATGTGGTGAACCCTGACCGCCTCTCCGGGAGGGAGGACTGAAGCGATGGAGGACCCAGGAAAGGTGTCGGGGCCACCACACTGACACCCTGAACGAGCGCAAGGCCCTTTCCACCTTCATGGCTTGTCCTCGGCACTGGAGGGGGCACAGGAGGACCTGTGTGTAGAGCCTCTCCCCTCCCCGGTGGCAGGTGGTGAAGAGGCCCGCCCTGCCCTGTGCTTCTTCCTGACAAGTACGGGCCTAGCAGTGGCCCTGGAGGGCCTTTTTTGCTCACAGATGCTAGAACCTAAGCCTTAACATGCAGTGTCCCTTGGAGCGACTGGGGTGCCACCAAGGCCCCAACTAGGCAGCCCCAGAACGGTCAATGAACTGGATTAGCGCATCTAATATAACTGTCACTACTGGTGTCCCTTGTCCCAAATGCATGGAACCAGAAGTGTTTAGGACTTCGGATTCTTTCAGGTTTTGGAGCCTCTGCTCGGATGTAATGAGATCTCTTATTTAAATACAAAACCCACTGAAGTTTCACATGTACCTTCTACAGGTGGCCCACAGGGGACATGGGCAGCTTGTGCCTGTTCTGCAAGCAGCCCATCTGGGGTATGGGGCTTCCCACTCGATCCTGGACCCCAAGATTAGATGCCTGACCTTCACCTTGTGCCCCAGGTTTCTTCCATTCTGCAGGGAGGCCTGGGTGGGGCACCTACCCTGGCAGCCATTTCCACTGGAGGCAGGGCCCCTCAAGTGTCACTAATAGTACCACTAGCAGGCAGCACGGGAAGCAGGCCCTGGTTCTGAGCAGGTTCTAAGGCTCACAGACCCCGCCTTCCCCACTCCAGCACTAGGAGCTGGGGCTGGTCTAAAGCAGGATGGGGCCAGCCCAGGAGCCTCTGTGCCTTGGCAAGGGGTTTGACAGTCAGCTTGCAGCAGTCTGTCTGTATACAGCCTGCTCGGCACATGCTGAACATGGAGGCTTCTGGCTGTTCAAAGGGGCTTTGGTGGAAGTACCAGAGAACTCCAGTAGAATAAAACCTCGTCACTCCACAAAATCCCAGCTGAACGCAAGCTTCCTCTTCCACTGATGAAAGACACGTGACTTAAAACCTAGAAAGAGCAGCAGAGGAGCAACGCAAGCCCAGTAGTGCAGGGCTCAGTGCCAGCAGCCGGCTGAGGGCTCCCCAGGAAGGACTAAGTACCTACACACTGGGGCAGTGGGGTCTTCCAGAGACAACCACCACCGCACAGAGCACATCTGGGCAGGAAGCAGGGCCTGGATGGTAGCCCAGGATCTACTGGACGGCCCTATGGAGAGAGAGCGAGAGGGAGACAGCAGCAGCTGGAGTCCTGAGGGGGCAAAGGCCCAGATGCTGAGAGCCACAGTTAGAAACTGTGGGGCTGCTGAGGAGGGCACAGCTAGTTCCACTCCCAAACTGCGTCTGTCCCAGCTCTGGGCACTAAGAAGACAACCTCATGATGGCAATAAAGGCACGGGCTTCAAGAGTGGGCACCACTGGAAGCAGGGGCCTCTGGACCCTTGGAGGATAACGCAGACAGTTGGAAGCTGCGTTGGAGTGCAGGTCTCCAGATGCCTGACTGGACCTGCTACAGCGCCCAGGGCCGGCTCCTCCTGCAGAACACAGCCTGGCCCCGACAGCCACAATGGGCAAGGGATCCCAACTAGGTGGCTGAGGGAACCTGCACTCTTCAGGTCCCAAGTGAGCCCTGTCATCTCTGGCAGCAACTGAGAAAACCAGAAAATAGACCTCATGCCCAAAACTGAAGTTCTCTGTACTAAACTGTGGGAGGAGAAGTCCTTGTGTGAGCTCCAGTGAGACTGGTCCTGGGCAGGAGAGATCCCCAGGGGGCCTGTGCTGATGGAGGCGCTGCCCTGTCTGCTCCAGCAGCCCCGGCTGGCGGCACCACAGGCCTGGGTGGTAGCCACTTTAGAAGCAGGCAGGCAGAAATGAAATGCCCCATTCCACAACTTTGGCACTGAACCCACCGGGTCACAGAACCTGGGAAGAAGAGGACGAAGGCCACCCCAGGTTCTCTCGGGTCTCCCCCAGGAAATCGAGCTAAATGGGTCCAAGGCCAGGGAGATGAAGCCAGGCCCATCGGCAGGCAGCTACCCGAGGAGGTAAAGCCCAGAAGGGGGCAGCCAGCTCCTTGGCTTCCTTGTCTCAGCAGCTGGGGTGGGGAAGAGGGTCAGGGTCTTCCTGTTGCCTGAGCCCATGCACTTGTACCCTCCCCCAACTAGGAAAGGAGTGGACAAGTTGCAGCCTCTGTGCTGCTACTCTGCTCCCTAACTAAGTGGTACTCCTGGTGTTCTGTCCTGGGTTGGGCTTTCCTTACGGCAGGATGCTAGTCCTGCTCTGAGCCTTAAGGCCCAGCCTGCAGCCAGCTGAACACAACCATCTGCAGGCCCCTGTGACTGTCACAGGCAGTCACTGACTGTGCCCACAGCCTGAGGCTCTGCATGGGGAGGCACACCTGGCTCCACAGCCTTCCAGGAGCCACACAGGCCTCTCAGCCTGCAGGTAGAGCAGACAGTACAAGTGTGCAGTGTCAACCTCAGCAGCAGAGGAACACGATAGCTCCAGAGGATCAGGACACCTCAGGAGACACACCCACAGCTTTTCAGGAACGCCAGCAAGGCCAGGTGGTTCTGCTAAGTGCCTGCCTGTCTCCTCACCCCCCACTGCATGCACAGATGCGTCTGTACACAAGCATGTCTGCAAGACGAGTGCCCCGTTCAGCAGTGGTGTCCCCTGCAAGTTCAGTCGCTAAACAGTACACACCTTTCATTAAGAAACTGTTCCATAAACTCAAGGATGAGAAGCAGGAGGAAGAAGAAATGCAGGACTGCTTTGCTCAGGACCAACGAAAAGGGAAGATGCAGAAAAAAACCCAGAATGGAGTTAGCTGTGGCTCTGGACGCCTATGGCACTCAACAGACTTAATGGGCACTTGTGGGCCGGGCAGTGTGCTGGGGCTGGGGAGCTACCCAGAGCTGTTTGCTTCAGGCAAGCCCTTGGGCTTTCAGAGAAACCTGACCGGCCACCGCAACCTCAGAAGGAAGTGGCCGGGGTCCTGTGAGACACCGGGTGCAGCGTGATGCCTATGATGCTAACTGCAGTTCTTTCAGATGTTTGTGCCTCGACTGATGTCCCCCACTCCTTTGGGGCTCAGTAGGTTCACAAATACGAGAAACTTGGACACGGGTTCCTCTCTTCACCTGCTCCCGACCTGAAGGAGAAGCCAAGTCGGCTAACACTAGAAACGCCCCGCGGAGACCCCGGAGCGCCTGGGTCCCTGCGGGCGGCGGCCTCCGGGCTCCCTCCCGCTCCGCGGCCCCCGCTGACCTTGAGCGAGGCCAGGTGCGCGATGTCGGGGCTGAGCTCTCGCAGGCAGTTGTCTGCGGCCGCCAACTCGCTGAGCAGGGGCAGCGCGCCGGGGCTGAAGAGCGCGGCGGGGAAGGCGTCCAGGCAGTTGCCGGTGAGGTTGAGGCTCTGCAGGCGCGGGGCGCAGCGCGCCAGGTCGGCGGGCAGCTCGCGCAGCCGGTTGCCGCTGAGGTTGAGGCTCTGCAGCTGTGGCAGCCCCGGCGGCTCCGCGGGGCCCAGGCCCTGGCCCGGCGGCAGCGCCTCCAGCGCGTTGCCCGACAGGTCGAGCACGCGCAGCGCTAGCAGCGGGCCCAGCTCAGGGCTCAGGCCGGGCCCCAGCGCGTTGCGCCGCAGCACGAGGCTGTGCAGCTGCGGCAGGCCCTGCGCCAGGCCCGGCCCCGGCGCGCGCAGGCTGCCACAGCCGCTCACCTCCAGGTAGTGCAGCAGCGGCAGCGTGAAGAGCCGTGGAGGCAGCCGCCCGCCCGCCGCCCGCACCCGCTCCTCCAGCCCCGGGCCCGTCAGCAGCAGCTCGCGCCGCCGCTCACGCTCCGCAAGCTCCAGCTCCGGCCAGGGATCGGACACAGCAGCCGCCGCCATCGCGCCGCCGCCTGCCGCCGCGCGCGCCGGGGCTTCCGGGGTGCAGCGCGCCACTTCCGGCCAATGCCGGAAGAGGTCATAGAGAGCCCGTCCGATGGCTAGAGAGCGGCGGTGCGTGCCACAGAGACAGGGGCCCAACGTGCGCGGCTAGCGCGGCGCGCGGGGGCCTGTAGGGCGTGAGGGGGCCTCCGCGGCGCAGAGATAGCCCGCAGGCGGACGCCAGTCACCGCCAGCTACACCCCGACTCTAGAATACCGGCTGGATGCAGTGTCTGGATCATTCCTAGTGATTGGAGCGATAGGTAGGTAGGTAGGCCGATTGATGGTGGGAAGGAGAAGGTAGGTGACAGCAGGACGGTGACAAGCACTGAGAGCTGAGCCCCGGGAGTTCTACCCTGGAGCTGCACCCCAGCCCGTTTTGGGTTTTATTTTGAGACAGGACCAGGCTGGCCTGGAGCTTGTGGTCCTGTGCCGCAGCCTCCCAGTCGCCGGGACTGCAGCACCAGGGGAGTGTCTAGAGGACGTGGGTTCTCTCCAGGGCGTAGGAGGGCCCCAGCTCCACTCTAGGACCAGAAACTGAGGCCGAGTCAGCCGTGTGAGCGGGTCAGAAGCTCCGAGGTCTCTCAAGGTCCAGACAGCCTCCCAAGTTCCTCTGCACACGCTCAGACCAGGGAGTCCCTCTGAAGGGGCGTGGAGGCAGCAGAGGCTTCAGATTCACCCAGGGTGGGCCCTGCCGCCCGGCTGTGCAGTGTGAGTGTTGGAACCCAGCTCCCAGGGCTGTCACTAAGGACCATACTCCTGGCCGTGGGTTCTGGAATGGTTGCAATGAGGCCAGGCTAAGGGCTCATGGGACAACTTCTGGGACTTTCCCCGTCCCTGCAGCAGCAGCTCACAGGGTCCCTAAACCCTGCCTGACCTTCCTAACACGGCTTGGACCTCCCCAGCTTTCCAGATGAGGACTCTGGCCAGGGTTCCAGACTTGCTGGGGAGCAGGAGCTAAGTGACAGTGGGGGCAGGTAGAGACTACAGGGGACGTGCCAGTGCTCAATGCTGTCATGAATGATGAGGGGACGGGATCATTTCAGAACAAATTTCATCTCCAAGAACCAACAGGCAACGACATAATGGAGAATACCTAATTCGAAGAGTGCACTGTGAAGGCACCTGGGTGGGCGTGAGCCCTGTGTATGTGCTGGAGCCCCAGACCCCAGGCCGCTGTCTTGGGCAGCAAGTGGTGCCTTTTCCAGACACCTTCCCACCTCGCACTCTACAAAGCACACGCAGCATTAGCCAAAGTCAGCTCCCAATTTTGAAGCAATACATTTGAACTTAAGTTTTAAGTTCACCTGTACCTGTGTAAAGGACAAAGCTGCACATACAAGACTTTAACATGGAAATAATTATAAAATCACTTATATAATATATAATCAAATCACTACGAAAGCTGACAAACCGAGAAACCACTCTGCACCATGTGGAGAAAACGCTGCATATGATCTTATTTGAAGATCAAATAACCTTGTTGGTTGGTAGAAAAGGCGGAAGACACGGGGACCACGTGGTGCAACCTCCCCTGGGCGCAGCTGGAGGACACAGGACATTCTGAGCCTAGTTAGTGGACACACTGAGCATTCTGGGGTTTTCCCACAGGAGGGAGCTGGTCAACAGTTCAGTCTATGTAGCTGGTACAAGTCTTCTAGCTTCTCCAGCACAAGCCCATTGGACGACTGGTCCAGCAGCTGGACCCCAATTGCCTCCCTCCTCTGTGGTTTCCAACCTGCCACCCTCAGTTTCAGGCTGAGCTACATGTGTGATCACTAATGTCAAAGTTATTTACAGAGTGCTTTTCAATTATAATCTTGAAATAAAAGTGACAAAACCTTAGCGATCTTTTTATTAATATACTCAAGGTGAATTAACCCTTAAGCCCTAAAATAATAACAAAAAATATATTATTTATTTTATAATTCTGGTACCTGAAATAAAGACAAATAGAAAACTGTTAAAACATTAAAAAGTTGCAAATTTTCATTAAAAGTATTTACATTTCTAATGTGAAATTTATAGGTACAATTTAAAATTTTTAAATTATATTAATATCCTGAAGTAGAAAATAATAAATACAATTAAATATCCAGAACCTATTCATAAATGAAAATTCAATTATTAATTAGTATTCTGAATTTAGATATTTATTTATGAATGGCTGAGGGATCTTGTGGTTCCATTTATATTTTCTCCCTTTAATCCTGGTCCCTGGATAGTGTGTAACTCTGTGAAAACTTCAGTGGCCACTCCTCACTGCTAGGATCATTTCAGCAAAGCACATGATTCTTCTGTCACCAGCAAAAGAGCAGAGGAGGAGCCCAGTTTTGTTGATCAATCACTAAAAATGAAGTATTTTTACAAATATCTTCTTTAAGTTAGAGCAGAAAACATTATATGTATCTTTCTGAAGTTTTGTCCAAAGAGAAAAGAATAATTCCTTGGTTAACTTTTCTCATTTTACTTAAAGAAGTGTCTCACCTGTACTTGGGGGGGGGGGGCAGTTAGAAACCAAGGCCGCCATGTTGGAAGTGAAGGAGCATGCTGTGCCGTGACCCACACAGTTTACGTTCTTTCTCCCACACCTGAAAGACGTCTAATAGGTAGGCCTTGTTCTCACCCAGTACTCCCAGACAACCCTAATGGAGGTACTAGTTTGGGAACTGAAGTGATTAATGGTTATTAACATACCCAGGAGTCGGGGCTCATGAGGCTGTTGGTTACCATACCTTTTGTGGTTTCACATGGTTGGGAATTAAAAACACTCATACACTAATCGCACCATACTCATTTCCTCAGTCCAAACACTCCTAAGTGGCATTCTGAAAGCCTGCTGTGTGGCCACAGGGAGCAAGCACAACCCTGGCCACTGGTGGACTGGGCACCTGGGCGCAGAGACAGCACAATGAGGTGAGGATGTACTGGGGCTTTCCGGCAGGTTCCAGATGGTCCTGGGCCTCTCCACGCAGCTGTGGGAAATAGCAGGTCTAACAAGGAAGCCTAGGCCTCCTGTGGGGAGGGTGGAGGAGCTGTGGAGGAGACTGCTTCTGAGGGCTGTGTCATCTCCTGAGCAGCGCTTTGGTGTGAACTGCTGGAAACAGGTGGACTTGTGGTCCCAGGTACAGTATGGCAAGGAAGGATGGAGGACAGACCTGGCAGAGGGGCTGGGCCTGCGGAGTGCGTGGGATGCTTCTGGTGGGTCAGCAGATGTGGAAGATGCTGTAGGCAGAAACAAAACAGGTTTGGAGACGGGCGTCCTGTGGCCGGGTGAGTGCAGGGTCACTGGGAAGTCACTCCACACTCCTTCCTCGGGACACTGCCAGTGCAGAGCAGCTGCAGGCCCAGGCAAAGGCATGACCAGCCTGCGGCAGGAAGCAAGCCGGGAGCAGGGCACGTGCTGACGGGGTCATTTCAGGATCTGCTTTCCAGGTTTTCTTCTTAACCATTACTTCCTGCCACAGTGGACACAGTCCTGCAGACACTGGCCTTGCTTCCCTGTGACTACTTGGGCTGAGTGGAGACCGATGGGCTTGAGGAAAAGCACAGTCAGATGCTCGTTCTGAACTCTGCCCTCTCGGGGCCACGGGGCACTGTAGTGAGCTCGTGCCCTGCACAGTCTGCCATGTGCGACGAGGACTCATGTGCCACAGGCTTCGGTGACTTTTCCAGGCAGCAAGGAGGAATATGCTCCGTGTGCCGATCCTCCCTGAGCAGTGGCTTCTGGCCCATGTGCCTCTGTCCTAATAGAAATCAGGCCTGGAGCTCAGCACGCAGGGCGGCGGCGGGCCCCGACGGTGGGGCTCTTTGGTCAGATTCACATACATCACTTGTAGGACAGCAGAGAGCTGGCACAGGAGAGGCCTAGGGCAGCAGGGACAGAGACAGGGCTGGTGCGTCCAGAAGAGTTTTAGGAGAAATGGTTTGGGAACACTTGCCCAGTCCCTGGTGGACAGGGCACGGAAGGTCCCATGTCACCGCTTTGTGTGTGTCCTGCTGGAGCTTTTGCTCAGGCCTCCCTTTGGGGTGGGGATCTTGCTTCCAGACTTGGCTCCTGAGCTGCCTGACTTGGTCCCTGCGAGGCCTTTTCCTGTGGCATAGACACACACGACACGGGACTACATTAGGATGGTGACTCATGCCCATGGTGGCAGTGTGAATGGCGGGAGGAACCCACCCTGAGCAGCTGGGCCTGAGAGGCCTGGGACCATGTCTCCCAGCCTGGAGGTGTCAGCACAGTGGACAGAGGTGGAGTTATGGTGTCTCCTGAAGACAAGAGAGGTGAGCTGTCAGGCCGAGCACCTCACCCTAATCAGGGCGTTACCCACGCAGGGGATACCTGGGTGGTAACTGTAGGCTGGAGGAGGTGGGTCACTGGGGGTGGATTCTGTCCCTCATGAACTGAGCTTAGTCTGTCTCCCCAGCTGCCATGTCCTGGGTTGCCTTCCTCCACCACAGGATGGCTGCTTGCCTCAGGCCCAGAGCAGTGGAGTCGGCCATCTCTGGACTGAGACCTCAAACTGTGAGCCCCAAATAAACTTTTCCTTCTGTAAAATTGTCCCTGTCAGATTTTTTTGGTCACAGAAGCAAAAAAGCTGACCACAACAAGTGCAGCGTGAGGAGCTGTGCAAGGCCACAGGTGCAGGTGCTCAGGTGGCAGCAGGACAGGACAGTCTCAGGGGTGCAGACACATCCGGGGTGGGAACAAGAATAGGGCCTGTTACCTGACCGTCATTCTAAGAACCCAGTCCTCAGCACGCAGCAGGGTGGCTGTGCACCGAGGCCAGCCTCCTGGCTGAGGGCCTGGGCCCTGTCCACCTATCTGTAAGAACTGGAGGGGGCTGACCTCTGCACGAGCGCCTCAGCATGGAGCCAGCACAGACCTGCTGCCGCAGATGCCACCCCCTCCCTACACGGCACGCCTGAGGTAAGCGTGCAGAAGTCTCCAGCATGGGCGGGTGGCTCTGCAGGTCTCTTTGTTCCTAAATCCTTCAGGCAGTCCCACAGGCAGTGCTGAGGAGCAGCATGGCACCCAGGAGTGCTTGGCCTTGTGGATCAGTTCTCTGGGACCTGGGAGAAGCAGCCACAGTGGACGGAGAGGGGCTGTGGCATGATTGACTTGCTCCTCATTAGGGAACCGGAACACAGCCAGGGACACTGATCAAGACGGCCCCAAGGCCCGCATGGGCGTGAACCTCACCTGGGAGCGCAGCCTGGGCCTTGTGCAGGATGTGTGTCTTGCGGAGGTTCCTCGTGCAGCCGGCAGGGCCCATCAGGTGCACCTTCCATGCCTGCAGCGAGAGGAGGCAGTGGCAGGCCCCACCTGACCACCAGGACGACTCACTGCTCCGTCGACACGGAGCTCCAGAGCTGCAGAGGCCCTGTGCCCTGCTTGTGCCCAGTCCCTGGCCACCAGGATGACTCACTACCCCAACAACACTGAGCTCCAGAGCTGCAGAGGCCCTGTGCCCAGCCCCTGTGCGCTACCACAGGGGGAGGCCCTCGTGAGAGTGAGAGTGTGCACATGCGTGTGGTTGGGGGCGAGGCAGAGCACCCCTGGGCCTGCTGGGCTGCACTCTCCTCATCTTCGCTTCTCCTTAAGCACCTCACCTGAGGCCCTAAGGAGTGTGCGCTCACACGGCCTGGCCAGAGGGTGCTCTGGGCTCCCTCAGGGCCATGAGGGGTGCTGCTGGGGTACACAGAGCATGTGCCACACACACAGCCCTGCAGGAGGGCCTGGCTATCCCCAGTCTCTACCCGAGCTCCCTGCAGCACTGTGCTGTGCTCTCCGAGGTGCCCCATGTGCATTTTACGTGTATTTTTGTGGTGTTGAGGATGGAAGCCAGGGTCTTGTGCATGCCAGGAAAGTGGTCTTCCACTGAGCCACACCCCTCACCCCAGACCACCATCTTAAGACACGGCCACTGGTCACGCGACCCTGTCTCAGGGCTGCATTCTGCCTTGCCCCAGCCCACGCCGTCAGACCTTGCCCTGGGCCCTCCAGGCCCACAGACCTTCCTGTGGCTAAAGCGAGGATGCCTCCCAGGCTCACCTGGCTGGTCAGCAGCAAGAGCACATGGCTCATCCCTCCCCTGCTGGCTTGGAGGGAGGGGGCTGCATGCTAAACCTATGGGTAGGGCTACTGGGCCGAGGGGTCCTGGAGCTGGGAGAGGCCCTGGCTGACAGCTGGCAGGAGAACAGGGACACAGTTGGATGACCACAAGGAGATATTCCTGCCAGCTGCTGGAAAGTGGGTGCTTCCCTAGCCAGGTCCGCAGCCCGGCCAACAGTGAGGAGAGGCGGCTCAGGGAAGCCAGGGAGGTCAATCACCTGCTCCTGCCGTGGATCCTGAGGCCATGCCATGAGCACTGGCAGGCAGTATGGGGAGGGCACTACTGGTAGGAGCCGGCAGGAGCTTCTGGCTGCCTTGCAGCCACTGCCAACCACAAGGGCGGCACTGATGCCGGTCAGATGCTGGGGAAAAGGTGGTGAGGAAGGAGGCCACTAGCTGCCTGCTGCAGACAGTAGCCCAGAGGGACTATGGGTACCACAGGAGCAGGTCAGAATGGAGAAGCAGAGGTTCTGGGTTCCAGGCAGGAGAGAGTGCTTCTCCACATGTGTGAGACCCACTCACAGTAAAGACGAGAGAGCACACCAAGGCTAGTCCCAGGAGGGGCAGCAGGGGACAGTACAGCAGCTGCGGCCTTGCTGTGCTCTTCTTGCCACATGGATGATTATAAAGATCTGGGAGACACGAATCCTATATGATCATGGAACTCAGTTTACACATTTACTGTGGGAGGCATGATCAACTGGAGCTAAGCCAAGTGACCTGGGACAGCGGATCCTACTTGTGTCACTTTCAGACTAGGTGTGGAACAGATCGAGTCTCCCTGAACAGCACTGTCTCCCTGGGGGGGGGGGGGGGGCAGGAGGCTGCCCTACATGCAGGGGCAGAAAACAGGGTCCACCTACCATGCCCTAATTGTGTCTCCAGGGTCACTGGAGTGGGGCTCTCAGGATGGACAAAGGACACAGACATAGGCAGCAAGGTGAAGAGGCCGTGGCCAGGAGAGTGAGGAGGAGACTCTCGGGTCACTGAGCAGCCTGGCAACAGGACCCACCCAGCAGCAGTGAGGAGCCTGCATGTGGGAGCCCGCCGGGGCACATGGCACCAGGCAGGAGAAGCACGTGGGCTGCTAGGGCTAGGCCAGAGGCCGGGAGCCCAGTGCAGAGGAGTGGGTTGGCGGAGGTAGGGTCTCCACTGCAGTGTCCCCACATGCCCAGCCCATGCTGCTACCTGGACCTCCTTTTCTGACACCTCCTTCCAGTCCCTCTGGAAAATGCCACTGACTTGGCTATGTTAAGGGACTGAGGTGCTCCTGTGCCTTTCTCATGCAGAATACAACCTCAGGTGGTGACAGAACAGGTGTGCTTCTGCTTAAGGAACATTCTGGCTGTGGATGGAGGGGCAGAATCAGAACACTCTGCTGCCTCCGATGGAAGAGCCCGCCATGGCCACCCCAGCTCTGCACCTGATGAGCACAGGACACAGGAGGACACACTCAGAACATTCAGCCTACAGAGACCCCAGAGGCCACAGGGCCTTTCCTCATCAGAGGCTGGAAGAAGAGAGAGCTGTTGACAGCAAGGTGTGCTCCATGCCCTGGAGGGACACTGGGCACAAGGCCCAGTCAGCAGGTGCTATGTGAAAGCTCTGCACTAAGACACCTGTGGGGGTCTGGGATTGTGGCTCAGCGGTAGAGTGCTCGCCTAGCACAGGCGGGACCCGGGTTCAATCCTCAGCACCACATAAAAAATAAAGGCATTGTGTTGTGCCCATCTACACCTAAAAAAAAAAAAAAAAAAAAGACACCTGTGGGTAAGACCAGGCGCCGTCTGGACCACGATGAGAGGCGGGGAGCCCGTGGGGCAGAGGGGGGACAGGCTAGGGACAGTGCTTGCAGGGCACCTGAGAGCTCTTTTACTCTTTTGTGTACTTTGTGAGCATTTGAAACTTGCAGGTTGGAGAGGAGGGAAGAGCGAGCGCACCAGGCAGGGCGGGTAGGACCCTGGCAGAGTGTGCTTGGGGACAGCATCTTTCCTGCTTTATGTGAGCTTTCTGTGGTTGAGGGACTGCTTGGTTTGAGCCATCTGCTGGGACACGGAGAGTCCAGCATCATGACAGCAAGTGGATGGCAGGAGACAAGAACTGAGAAAGTGGGAGAGGAGAAAAGCGGGTCTCCAGGGCCGGCCTGCCCTGTCCAGCACACAGAGGTAGCACTAGCACACTGCGCAGAGCCTGGGTGCCCCTGTCACCTGAGAAGGGAGACGTGGGAAGAGGTGGTGGGCATGGAAGAGTTGCCCCTCCCCACCAGCCCTCAAGTCACACTGCAGCATGGGCAGGGTGGAGAGGAGCGCTTGGTCTGGGGTAAGAGGTAGGCTGCCTCACCAACTGGACCAAGTCTTCTTCACCAATAAACCCAGGGCCAGTGTTATAGACCCTGCCCAGGGGCCCCAACAGATGAAAGCAATGACCCCAAACCCCCAAACCACGTGATGCTGGAATCCCAACCAGGTGAGACTCTTCAAGTAAACTGTGGATAAAGGTGAGGGCACGAAGTCATGGGAAGAGGCAGGTGAGTGGCACCCTGCTGCGACAGGGTCACCCTGGACACCTCAGCTGTGGCCAGCACCAGCACCGCAGGCAGCGGCTAAGGGTGTGCTCACCTCCATGGTGCTCACTCCCCCGGGGAACGCCCCTCACCTCTTCTCCAGGTGTGAAATTCTCATGGCACAAGGGACACCGGTTGGCCAGCTTCTCTGATTTGGCAGCTGAAATGATTGAAATGGAAAAGACTGGGTGACTTGTGGCAGTTGGAGCAGGGGGCAGGGACTGCCTGCTTGCCTGGCAGACACTAACCACACACAGGTCCCTGCGACACCCTGCTGCAGCTGCCCTGCGCAGGGGACATGTGGTGACCAAGGGCACTCACGGTTGCAGACACCCTGCTGCAGCTGCCCTGCCCAGGGGACACGCGGTGGCCGGGGACACTCACGATTGCACTCCTTCGCCTTTATGTGCCTGGGCAGCTCTTCTTTCCGCACGGCCTCGCTGCAGCGGTGGCATTTGCCAAACCCGTCTTTCTGGTCACATTCTGTCAGCAGGTGCTCTGTCAGGCTGGAGATCTCCACCACCTGGACTCCGAGACACAGGGTGCTGCTAGACGCTGGTCTGTCCTGCCAGGGCCACCTGCAGAGCTGGGGCCCGTAACGCAGGACAGCTTCTCTGTCATTCCCACATGAAGGCAAGCCAGAGAACCTCTGTGGTGTGTGACTCTAGTCATCTGTCACACTTGTCATGTCACCTTGGTACCACTCAAGGTTGTGCCAAGAGGCAGGCACGGGGGCTGCAGTTGAGTATGACCAGCTCCTGGGGCAGAGCAGCCCGCGGCTGAATGTGTGCCCTGGGCTCGAGGCCTGGCTCCCCAGCGTTGCTTTCTCTCTCTTTTTTTTGTGGTCCTGAGGGTGGACCTGGGGTGCTCTGTGTGACCAGCGTCCACCAGGGGCAGCTGTATTCCCAGCTCAGCTCTGAGACAGGGTCTCACTCAGTTGTCTGGGCTGACCTTGAACTTGTGATTCTCCCGCCTCAGCCTTCTGTTCCTGGGTAGTCCCAGTAGTTGGGGTTGCAGGCGTGTGCCACCATAACGGGCAAAGATATTTTTGGGGGAGTGTACTAGAAATTGAACCCAGAACTTGAAGCAAGCCAAGCAGTGCTCTGCCACTGACCTGTGCCCCAGCCCGTCTCCAGCATTTCTAAGGATGTGCCCAGAAGCTGGGTCCTCTCACCCCTGACACCTTTGGCAGGAATGACTTGTGTGCCCTCTAGAACTTAGTGCTAAGGCTCCACTCACTGGGGGGAGGGGGTCAGTCTGTGCTCCCAGGGGAGGGGCAACAGCTCTGAGGGCAACTCTGCCCACGAACCCCTTCCTGTGGGCCTGAGTCTCAGAGCAAAGGACAGATGTCCACTGTCCACTTGGTTCTCTAAGAAAGAAGGCCTGTCACTGTAAAACCTAACTGCAGTAGATGTGCCTAGCCACACCCTCGGCCCTTTTTATATTGTATTTAGAGACAAGGTCTCACTGAGTTGCTGAGAGCCTTGCTAAGTTGCTGAGGCTGGCTTTGAACTCTCAATCCTCCTGCCTCAGCCTTGTAAGCTGCTGAGATTATAGGTGTGCACCACTGTGCCCGCTCTGCTGTGTTTCTCAATTGTAAATGACACGTTGGACCCCAGCCTAAACTTATAATGAGTCGCTGTCTTCATGGTTTTCAGGGTTGGCTGATGATACTGACCGTTTCTGTACTAATTGTTCACAGACAACAAGGCTCCACTGTGTTGTCCACTGCTGTCTTGGCATGACCCCTGCCCTGTGTGTGCCTTGTCCAGTCACATGCCACTGCCACCACGACCTCCAGGCCACCCTGAGGCAGAGAGGCCCAAGCTACAAATGGCTCTTCCAGTAAACCCCAAACAGAATTCCACCCACTAGGGGCCCCTGGAGGCTCCGTGGAGGACCTGCTGCCATGCCCTTGCCGACGCCCTGTCCAGCTTGAAGGCGCCAGAGCAGCCATCACCCAAGTTCCCTGATGGCAAGTCAGAGTGACCTCTTCAGAAGGGGACTGAGTGCAGCAATGTGGTGGGCAGGCAGGGAGGGGACCACCACTGCAGCCACTCCCTGGACAGAGCCTCCGATAGGCCAGCAGCGCGTGACCAAGCACAGGACAGCAGCCCGCCTGGAGGGGAGTGATCATGAGTGTCTCATGTGGAGGCAGCAGCTCCCCTCCTAGAAGTCATCACCTCCAGCAACACCATGTAGACCCTAGGCAGCGGCAGTTCGGCCACCACCAGCCTGGGACCCTCTCTGGGGGAGCGCCACTCCTTTCTCTTTCAAAAATAGTTACTTTACTCTCAGGGGAAAAAAAAGGAGAGCCGCTGTGGAAGAGAAGACATTGGAAACTTAGAGCAGGGTTCCTTAAAGGGGACAGAGGATGAGCCACAGACTGGTGAGGGGAGCCCTGCAGGCAGATGGCGGAGACCGGGCGCAGGTGCTTGGTTCCTCCACACAGCAAGGCTCAGGCTCACACGTGTGGACGGCCACAAGCCAGGAACAGACTGGCTGCTCAGGACAGGAGACCACAGGCCCTTCACAGAAGAGGACGCTGAGGGCCAAGGACCCAGTGGCACTGCGCTTCACACCGCAGGGCACGGGCACTGGCACCGGAGGCCTCCAGGTGCGCATGCAGGTGCCCCCTCTCAGGTAGCCTCTGTCTCTGGGGGCCACCAGCTGACATGGCCACTCTGCAATACTGCGTGGACCTGCTTGGCAGCTGAGCGCCCATGGCCCAGCAATCCCCGCAAGGCACATGTGCACTCAGATGCCACAGCAGAGGCTTCACAGGAGCTCCGGCTGCCTGCAGCTGGGCCACAGCTGGGTGCTCAACACCTGCCACGCACTCGAGCCTGGGCGCAGCAGAGCGGGCGTCCATCCACCTGGCACGCAGGGCAGCACGCTGCAGGGTCCCACTCACACAAAGCCCCCAAGCCACCACCAGTGGCAGGGTGGGGACCCGAGGGGCCCCCTCTCTGCAGGCCAGGGCTGCACAGGCCGCCACTGCTCTTCTCAGGACTCCCCCTGAAACTACCAAGACCCGGGACAACTCCGTGATGTGGCCTCTCAAAACCTGGCATGCATGTCAGCGCAGGGCCGCCGGGGCCAGCGCCTCACCTGTCTGCAGTGGTCGCATCTGGTCAGCATGAGGCAGTGCTTCCAGTAGTGGAGGTCCAGGCCCTCTTCTGTGAAGGACTCGCTCCTCTCCCCACAGAAAATGCAGAGGCTGAGTGAACAGAAGCAGGTGGAGGCCAGGTCCTCGCCCGGGAGAAGCTCCGGACCCCTCCACCCGACGGCCTGGGCTTCCTCAGGCAGTCCTTCCACCCCTGACCTGCCACGGTCAGGGGTGAGCTCAGGCCCCTCAGTCGGAGGAGTGCTGGGGTCACTGACACACAGGAAGGGACTTCCCTATGTCTCCTGCACATCGGTCCTGGTCACTGAGTGGTGAAGAGCACTTCACAGCCACAGGACTTCTGACAAACAGGGTGACTTCTGTGGGCCAAGAAGGGACGGTGGTCTTGCTGGGCTCAGCTGAAGCTCATCAGCTTAGGGCAATTTTCCAGGCTTTAAAAATCATGGGAGAGAGCCCATAATCGACTGGCCCAAGTGAGCCAGGGAGGAGGTGTCTGTACTCAGTGCTCCTGATGGGTCCCCGTGGCCCCACAGGCAGGCCAGGGCAGTACTCACTTGTCCAGGTAGTGGTTATCTGGAATTTCCGGATCCTCAGGTGGGACTGCTTTCCTTCCTTGAAGGTTAAGAGAGAACGTGAGCCAGTTCTGTGGAGAAGTACCTGCAGCTCAGGGACAGTCCCCGGGAAATGACTTTCTAAAAAGGCAGAGCTGCTCCACACACAGCCGAGGGTGTGCGACATGCTGCTGGCCCTCCCTGGCACTGCTGCGGGCCCTCGGGGTCTCTAGGTGGCCTCTGGGTTGCAAATACCTACCCTGATTCTTGGGCCTCACGGTATCGATGTCCTTCTCCTAGGACACAAAACAGAAGCATCAGGGACAAGTGCTGAGGTCACTGTGGGCCACAGTCCACCTGGGCTGGTGCCCACAAAGGGACACAGACACGGCCCTGTGCTGGCTCTGGCCCTGAACAGCCCCGTGAGTCGGCCACATCTGTCTCCTCACTTGTAAACACAGGTGTGAGTCCACATGCCTGGGGGCAACCCGAGGAGCGGACACACACGTCCAGCACAGTGGCAAAGGAAGCTCCTCCTGCCCCCTTCGCCCAGCTCAGCAAGTGCTCTGTGGCCCCCGCTCCTCTGCAGGGTGTTTCCCTTCCCCACTGGTGACCATGCCTTCTCCCCTTTCACAACTGTGCCAGACCCACCCTCTTTGCTGCGCCCGGTGCTCAGGGCGGCAGGCGGCTGCAGGCAAGCGCCCTGCACACACTGGTGACTAGCTTTCACCCACAGGAGACCTCCCGACTCGCTGACGTTCTCTTTCTACGGGAAACTTTCCTTCAACTTCAGGAACTGAATCACAACTAATTTCAATTCCAGAAGCAGGGCAGCCTGGAAGGAGCACGTTTGTATCTGACCAAACCGAATCCAGGCCTCCCACTCAGGACGCCGTTCGACTGGATGGTGACCCCAAACCTTGCTCAGCAATCTTCAGATTCGGGTGCATGTTTTCACTCTGCCTCTGGAGGAGGCAGGGAGCTCTCTCGCCTCCCATTTCCCTCACCTGTCTCTTCCCTCCATAATCCTGGCAGCAGAGCAGAATATTCAACCAAATACTCCACGTCTAATTCCATCTACTACCCAGCAGACTTTTAAAAAAAAATCAACCCCCAAACCAATTCAGGAACATGAGAGAACAGCGACTGTCACCTGCATGACTAACTCCCACGCCAGCCAAGCCCCGCGCTGCCCCCATCACCTGCACAACCCACGGTCAGTCAAGCACCCGTTGGTACCCAGGGAATTCCAACTGAAAAAATCTGGCAGACGGGCCAGCTGCCCACCTGGACGTGGGCCTGCGTCTCCTGCAGCGCGGCCAACTGCCCCTGCAGAACTTTGATCTCTTCCTTCTTCTGTTTTTCTGCTTCTTCTGTGGCTGCTTTTTTCTGTGCCTGGTTAAAAAAAAAAAAAAAATTTTTTTTTCTCCTTTAGAGTAGCTTTTTGGGGCAGTCTCAGACATTGGCAGACAGAAGCACACGAGGTACGTTTTACACACCACAGCAGTCACTGACACTAACATGACCACAGTTAAAGTCTCAGGTCCATTGGGTACCCGGCTACTGACAAACTGCCAATGACCACTCTTCACGTGAGCTTCCCGTGCAGGAGTAGAGGGGTCAGGCCCCGAGTTGGGGAACACAGCCTTCGCCAGGCCCCTGTGCTTCCTGCACACAGGGCTCCTTATGTGGGTTATTTACTCATGTTCTAAGCAACTTTATTTTTAAAAATACATTCTTTTTTTTTTAAAACATTTGTTTTTTAGTTGCATGTGGACACGATACCTTTATTCTATTTTTGTGTGGTGCTGAGGATGGAACCCAGGGCCTCACATGCACTAGGTGAGCGCTCTGCCACTGAGCCACACCCAGCCCCTCTAAGCAACTCGAGACCTGCTGCGACCACCCAGGAGGGCCGGCTCACCTTCACTTCAGCATCCGTGGGCCTGCCGTCTATTTTAGCAAATCCCTCAAAAATAGTTTTATAGAGGATGTTCCTGCGCGTGCTGCTGTCATCCGGAGGAAGGTACTCCAGAGTGAGAGCCTGGTGCTGCCTGTACATGTCCAGAATGATTCTGACCGCTGTTTCTCGGACCTCATACACTCTGTGCTCCAGGGCGCTCACTGCAAACTGGAAACAAAGTCGGAAGGCTTCTCGTTACTGGTTCTCACAAAGTTGATTTGTTCCAGCATAAAAAACAATACAGGTTTGTTATAAAAATGTGAAAAATTTTTATTTTTGTTTTTTATTGTTGTTATAACAGTTTGAAAAATAAAGAAAAAACAGACACAACCACAAATATCAAGATGCAGAGACCCCTCCTGATAGTTGATCTTGCAGATACAGTTGAACCCATGATTGATCCGTATGCTTTTCCCAATTGAATGAGTTAACGGGCATCTTTAGGTTATATCCTTCCATAAACAACTCCTTCTGCTTCTTCTCCTTTTTTTTTTTTTGATGGCACCCAGGGCCCTCTATCATTGAGCTATGTCCCCAGCCCTTCTGTTTTGAGACAGGACCTTGCTGAGTTGCCCAGGCTGGCCTTGAACTTGCCGTCCTCCTGCCTGCCTCCGCCTCCCACGTAGCTGGGACTACACATGGAGACCTCTGTGCCCAGCACCATAGCCTCATAGTAAGTATTATAAAATATTCCAAATATGTGTAAGAGGAAAGAAAACCTCATGGCTTCCCCATCTGAATTTAACAAATGCTTTAATTCCGCTGCCTATTTTGGACCTTTCTGTTTTTAAGAAGTGCAATGCTGTGGCTGCTGTGCAGTCCCTCTGGGTGTCTCCCAGACCCACGGGCTTCTCCTTGGAGGCCCTGCTCTCCTGAACTTGTGTGTGTGCTGCCCAGGCGCACAGGCTGAATGTGACCTGTGTCCCTGGGTCTTTTGCTGCAATGTCATAAATAGCACACGTGGGTGAGGTTGTGGGTCAGAGGTAGAACACTTGCCTGGCATGTGTGAGGCACTGGGTTTGATTCTCAGCATCACAAATAAATAAATAAATAATAAGGTCCATCAACAACGAAGAATAAATACATAAACAAACAGCACACACGCTGATTCCAAACCCCTCCTTTCCCCACTCGACACCATTTGCCAGGTCTGTGCACCCCCCTCAGCTGTTTCTTCTACTCCTTCCGACCCCTCTGTCCTCTGGTGGGGCACCAGTGACATTCCGATGCCTCTTTGATACCTCTGTGGTGGGCACCAGTGACACTGCGGCGCCTCTGTGGTGTGTGAGTGAACACACTAGACCACCCTTCCCCTGTCCCAGGCAGTGGTCCCTGGTGCCTGGGCCTCTGGTCGCTGGCCTTCCTCACTTCCACGGGCTCGGCTTAAGGCACACGCTGCTGAGCTCCACCCCAGATCTCGTCATCACTGTCACCCCACTCAAGAAGGACTGGTCTAAGGGCACTGAGCTCTGGTCACCACCTGCTGCTGTGCTCGCCGTCCTCCCGTCCTCGGCCCTGACTACAGCTGGCAGCGTACAGTCCCCCGTGCAGTCCCTCCTGCATCCACAGACATGCACGCAGCCCAGTCCTCCTTCCTTTGCAATACCAGGTGGCGCCGACTGTGACAGCAGGTGCCACGATCACACTGCTGGTTCAGACTTGAGGCCACACGTCAGGGGTGCCCCAGGTGCTGTGCTGTCCACAGGACCACGGCAGTTCCCCCGACAGGCTACTCAGACCTCCACGTGATCTGAACCTCCCTGAGCTCCAAGGGGCAAGGTGTGGTCTGCTCCTGGGGTTGGCCCCTCTGTGCACAGCCTGATGCCTGTCCACTCCCAGGCTCCACCCTGTCGCGGGCCCACTTCATCTCCTATTTAACCTCTCCTCTCGGTTTCCCCCACCTGGACCACGGCACAACACCAGGCCAGCTGGCTTTGCCCTGTGCACAGCTTCACCACGCTCTTCTCCGGGGTTGGCCATCTCAGTGGAAACTCTCCACAGATGCGCTCTGGTCACTTTCTTCTACTTGGTGGCAATGGAGGTGGCATCATTCTTGAAGGACACTGAGTCCTTGAGTGACTGTATGGAGCAGAGCTCCTCTGTCCTTGCAAACTGCATCAGCTTGCTCTGGGCTGTTGGACTGTGGGCGTCTGCGCTGCGCAGAGCTCCCTCCAGCCAGGCTGAAGCCGACCTGCAGTAGGGTGCTGCTGTGGGAGGAGAGGGGGGCGACACACCTTGCAGGGCAAAATGGCTGCTTACTGACTGCGACTCAAGGCAGATGCAGGCCTGCTGAGCTGGCAGCACAGGGAGAAAAGGATGGGAGTAATTAGAGCACTGGTGTGTGGGGGCTACTACCAGCGGCCTCTGACAAGGCAAGAGAAAGAGCTGAGCTCAGCACAGGACGGCCAGCTTGAGCAAAAAGGGCCCACAGGAGGCCTGGGCTGCTGGAGCGTGTCGTCCTCTGCAGTGTTCACAGGAGGTCTCAGTGTGGAAAGGAGCCCACAGGCCCGGGTAGAGGCAAAGACCAGTGTCCATCGACCTTTCAGACTGCTTCCCACCATGAACCAGCATCGCCCACACCACACACCAGGAATGGGGGGATCAGTGCATGCAGGCGGAGTGCCCTCATGCGCTGGCATGAAGTCAGGCTCGCACTCGCTCGTCGAACACTGATGGGACTCTCCACGCTCAGGGTCACAGTGGCTAGCACACGGCATGAGGTGACTCACCTTCATCACACTGTCCACCGTGAAGCCCGTGCTCCCGGTGCCCAGGTCCCTCAGCAGCCGGGCCAGGAGGTCCATCTGACTCATGGCCAGATGAGCCGAACAGTTGACTTTTAAAGGCTGCACCAAGTAGGATGGGATGATCTGGAGAGGCTTCACCTCCTCAAACAAGGCCATTTCCTGTGGAGAGCAACAGGAAAGCACGAGGGATGATTCAGCACCACCTGGCAAGACTTCCCACTAAACTTGGAAGGAACAGAGAGGACAAGAGGTTGCAGAATCGTCATGGGCGTGCAAGCTCACACTTGTGTGAGAGGCATAACAGGGAAGAACACACCGCCCAGAGGCTGGTGAGCGCCTGTAGGAATAGCCCAGAGCGTGAAGGTTTCGGTTCTTGGTGCTCCTCAACCAAGAAAAGGTTCTCTGATTTCTAAAATCCTAAAAATAACTACAGTCTTGTAGCTGAGGCCATTATTTTAGTATTTCATGTCAACCAAGAGAGTAACAATGTACAATTCTCTTGTTAATATGATTAAAATGAAAAAACGAGCAGGATTACATATTTATTAAGTGTCTAAGCAAACAGGTTTTTCTATGGCCAGAATGTCTGTGATTTAATTAGCCAGCAACAGAGGAATGGGTAATGAAGTGCCGAAGCAGGTGAGCTGGGAGAGCAGATCTGTTTTGTTAAGTCTCAGGTCCTGTCACCTAGAATCCCCTCTCCTCTTGGCAGCATGATTCCTGTGCACTTGGGCCCCGGATGGCTGCACAAGTAGGAAAAATAGAATAAGTGCTTTCTTCACCAAGTGTGGACAGCAAACTCCTCAAACAGCACATAGATGCCACAGAGGTGAGGAGGTCCCCAGTTGCAGGGGCCTGTGGATGGGCAGTTGCACCCAACACCCACGGCAGGGCATCCTGGCAGGCTCGGCAGCCACACCTGCAATCCCAGAGACTCAGGAGGCTGAGGAAGCCTGGGGTTGGGCGACAGACTGCCTCAAAGTAAAAACGTATGAATAAAAAAGGCTGAGGGCTGGGGACAGAGCTCAGCTGGTAGAGTGCTTGGCTCGCATGCACAAGGTCCCGGGTTCAGTCCCAGCACCACACACATAGAGGACCACCTCAAGTGGAAGGATTCCAGCACCACTCGCCTGCTCACGTCAACACAGCTTACAACAACTGAATGAGGGACAGCGCAGCAGCACACTGGGCTGTCCCAGCTGTGCGGAGGTGGGGGCAGGAGGATTTGAGCCTGGGCTGCACAGCCAGACCCTGTCTCTTAAGGAAAAAAAAACAAAACAAACAAACAAAAAAAATGCAAAAGCAAAAAACAAACAAAAAACCCCCAAAACAAACAAACCAAAAAACTCACAATAAACAAGTGGAAAAAAAACCTGAAGCAATAAGATGTTCTCATTTTGACCTTTTTTTTTTTTTAATATTATTATTAGTTGTTCAAAACATTACAAAGCTCTTGACTTGACCTATTTTTTTGAAAGATGAAAACCTCTCCAAATTCTGAGCTGTGTTAACAAGGCGGGCCTTTTGCCACTGTCATATGACTCATTTTTACTTTCTAATCAATAATATGGTACTTATTTTTCCTCATTTTCTCTGAAAATCTGAACTTCTTAAATGAAGCTAGTTGTGGCGCTCTTCAGGTTTTAAAGAAAGGGAGAAAGTGCTGGACTCCTTCCACCGAGAGGCAGCGCCTCAGTCTTCCTCAGGACCTGGCCCAGAGGAGGGACGTTTGACGCGGTGGGGTGTTCATGACCACGATGTCAGGTTTTATGGTAAAGTTCAGACCTGAATAAAATTTGAAGCCATGATGCGCAGGCGGGTGGAGGAATCTCCGGTCCTGGCAAGCAAGGCAGGAATGGTCCTCTCCACACAGTGGGTGGTCTCAAGCTTGCTCAGCTGATGTTTGGGAATATACTGTGTAATCATCATTTTCAGTAATTTCAAAGAAGCCTGAAAGACCTAGGAAATGGGATAAAAACAGTTGAGCTCTTCTAACTGGATTTTCCAAGAGAAAACACACACTTCACTATTAGTACTAGATTTATATGGGTCATGCCGAGACCCACGCGCTGTCTGAAGTGCTGAAAACGGAAACCAACAACTGCTCTCTGAAGACCCCACCCTGCTCCCGTCTCACTGTGCCAGGGAGCACTCGCCAACATCCTGGCCCAGAGGGCCAGCTCGTCTACAGCTGCAGCCAGGGTGACACTGTGGCACTTGTTCTTCAGGCCACGTGGAGTTGGGAAAACACAATTCCAGGCTCCTCAGGTCTCGTGTTTGCTGGCAGTGGCAATCAGGCCTCTGCACACACTGCTGGGGACTGTGGCAGAGCTGGCACTGCACCAGGCAGAGGGGTGAGGAAGCAGAGGCAGTGGTCTCAGACCTCACCTGCCCTGCATCTTCCCAGACAGCCTTCACTCCAGTCACCTACGACAAAGGACAGGCTGCCCCTCAGCTGCTCTGCTCCACTGTGGAGTGGCATGTCACCTGTGGCCAGCACGCTGAGGGGACTCACCGAGGTCACAATGTCCTTCATGGCTCTTCTGACAAGAAAGACAGATGCTCTCAGCATGCTCTTCACGTCTTCCTTCAGGGTTCCAACAGGCACCTCCATCAGCCTCTTGCACAGACCAAGCAGCGCATCCTCTCGGCAGGACCAGGTCTTGGAATAGGCACCGGCAACCTGCCAGGCACAGAGCCTGCTTGGTCCTGCTTCAGGGGGCAGGTTCCATCCACCCACCTGCCCTCCAGGTCTCCACAACGCAGCAGCACGTGTCTGCTTTTAATACTCTGGACCTTTTCTAGTAGCGGGTCCCTGGTAGAGTGTGTGTGTTTAGGGAACAGCTCCTTGGATGGGAAGGCTGTGCTAACACACCAACTCCACCAAGAGGGCCCTCTGGAGTGGGCCAGGGACAGGCAAGGAGAGGCTCTAGGCTCTTCCCTGCCATCACTGTCACTGCAATTAGCTGCTGCTCCTAGGAGGGATGCACCCTGCAAGCTCTGAGAACACCAGGAGGAAACACACCTTCGGTGAACATGCTTTCATAACACCCGAACCCAGCCGTGCTCCGCAGCCCTTGAGAGTGAGTGAAGGGCAGGCTTCCTGGCGGCAGCGGCAGCACCACCAATGACCCCCCCTCCACTGTGAGTGTGCCTGTGCACACACACGTGTGTGGCGGTTTCTCCTTTTTACCAGGGTTTCTCCTAACACTTCCACCGCGGAGCTGGCTTCCCTCAGGGCCTTTTCGCTCAGGGGCTCGGGCTCCCCGGCCACACCTCCTCTTCGCACAGTGCCCAGGTCGGCCTCGCCTACGTCGGGTTCTGTCAACACTTCTGCTTGCTGTTTGCGGGGGGCTGGGAGGGGCCGCTCGTCATAGGGTAGGGTGTCCACCTGCAGGAGAGAGGACAGCACCCCAAGTGACACTCCCCATGGCCTCCTGCTCTCCTGGGAGAGCGAGTGTCAGAAAGGTATTCTTTTGCTCACTTTCAGCATCATCAGATCGGAGCAGCAGTAAACAGGAAGTAACTGGCACAGTTCGAAGAGGTCTTCTAGTCCTTTCTAAATTTACCATAAAATAGCAATGCAGACTTGGCCTCAGTTACTACTGACCAGTAGCAATTTCAGTTCAACAAAGATTACGAAAGCCAAGAAAGGTACTGCATTTTTTTTCCTGACAAGACCACTGGTCTTTTTTTAGTTTACTGCTGAAAAGTCAGCTCCAGCCTGCCTATTAACCCGCTCACCATCCAGCGGCCTTGGATTGACCCAGACAGCCAAGGTCAGAGACTCTACACAGGCTTGCTCTGCTTGCCTAGGACCCCGGCTAGGCAGCTGCCTATCTCACTCTCCCACTGCTCCAGCAAATATTCAGGGGCGCCTAATTTGTACCAGGCACTCATCTTGGAACACACAGTAACGAACAAGATGGACCTTCTGCCCTGCTTGCAGTCCCATAAGGAGACAGGCCCATGACCAAATGAGAAAGAACGTAGCAGAGTTTTGGGTAACGAAGGGAGACGAGTAGAGGGAGAAAGAGGTGTGTGTGCTGACACTGCAGTGGGTGGGGCTGCCGGTCCACTCCTGGCGCTCACAAAGATGGTGAGTGAGAGTGCGCCAGTGGGCGAGTTTCTCATGCCCTCAAATCTAGTCATGAGACACTGAGGCAATAGAACCGGGAAGAGCACTGTGTATATTAAACTGAAGTAGTCAGCAGAACATAAGGTCAAGCCCCAGGGACGTGGCGCGTGGCCTCTGCAGCAGGCACTCTCTGGGGCAGAGGCGGTGTCTTCCTTTCTGTCCCCTCACAGTGCCGGGAGGCCCTGATGGCCCATTCCACACACCCCTAGTCTGGCCCTGGCTGCTGCTTCAAGGCTGGTGCGGGAGACTGTGGATGATCTAACCAGGTAGACACAAGGGTGCTGCTAGAATAGGACACTCCCTCCCCCTCAGGTGGCACAGGGCACCTGGTGACCGCAGCCCTGGGGTGATGTGGGAAACAGACTCGACATAGTTCAGCAATGAATCAAACCGACTGAGGCCCACAGGATCTCCTAAGCTGCTAGCTACGCCCAGTAAGAATCAGGTGTCCGGTCACTCACAGCACAGGAAGTTCTATCAGGCATGGTGGCCAGGCACGAGTTTTATCACATGCTAGGTGGCTTGCTGGTGTGCTAGGCATTTTTTGGAATTTTTTTTTACTCTTTGGTCGATGCTTTAAGAAAGTGTTTTTGTCTTTATACAGAAAGCAGTGGCTCAGAGGCGGAAGGACGTGTGAGAACACAGGTAAGGGACAGGACAGGAGGGGGCTGCAGGCTGACTGCGGACGGTGCCTCCCAAGGGTGTGGCTCCTTGGCTCCTGCTACTGTGGCGCTCTGGCCTTAGCCCTTGTGTCCGTGGCAGAACTTTGGGAGGGGCTTGGCCATGTGCGGCGTGCCTGCCTCTCCTGCACTGGACCACGCCTGACACAGCGTGGTGGTTAGTAAAACACCTGTGGCATAAACAGTACCAAAGTAAACAGAGCTACCCACGTTGCTCCTTGGAGGCGGGCCCCCGGCAGGCAGCAGCTGTTCTACTGCAGTGTGCCGCGGAGGAGGAGCCAGGGGGCTCGAGGAAGGCTTCTCCTGAAGAAGCTGGTGGGCAAGCTGGCTTTCGGGGGCCACCTCTTCTGGCTGTGGCAGTGAGGGGGCTGGCTTTCGGTGGTGAGGACTGCTGAAATGATCCAGGGGCTGGAGGGGCAAGTCCAGGGGCCTCCGCATCTGGGGGAAAGGAAGGGACATTGCATCTCAAATGCCATGGAGCTACCATCTTGTCCCCAGGTGAGTGACTGGAGGAAGGCTGTGCTGGGAGAGGGTCCTCAGCATGGCACATCTCAAAGGAAAGCTTCCTACTCGGGCCCAAGTCGCGAGGCTTCCCTGCCGTGCTCTCCTCAGGTGCTGGACACAGAGCCACCGTGTACACCCAAGTCCCGCTGTGAACGGGTTTGTTCACTTGTGGAGAAGCCGACCATGGCAGGAGGCACTGGTTGAGCCTGAGCAGGCCTGTGCTCAGAACCAGGCACTACTATTCCCTGAGGGTCAGGGGACCCTGCACAACCGTAAAGGGCATAACCAACCTGCAGTCACCTCACCTGGGCATGGTGCCCAGGGCCACAGACTGGGCATCTCACTGTGCTCTCCACTTCACCCTGCTGGGACGTGGAGGCAATGCTGGCCAGCATCAGTCTGAGGTCAGCGGCCAGAAGGGAGGGCCCAGGTGAGACCCAGGCAGCCTGTGCTCTCCACTGTCCTGTGGCTCTCAGGGCCTGTTTCCTCACCTGCTGTACGGGTGCCTACCTGCCTGTCTGAGCTGTGCCAGAGGCAGGGCACCACCCACCGGGGCCACAGGTGCACTCGGAACCTTCTCCTTCTCTCGGGCGGGGCAGGCGGGAAAGCCACCACGCCTTGCACGTGAGCAGAGGGGGCTGGGTGAGGGGCTTGCTGGAGAGGGCAGTGCCCATCCCTCCACCCCCCGCTGGCTCCCGCCTCCTCTGGGTGACTCCTTGAGGGTCCTGTCACTACCCAGAGCCTGTCGCCCTGCCCAGTCGGTGCCCCGCCCTGCTGACCTCCAGCTCGCCGTGCAGGAGGCCGTGCAGCTCCAGCTGCTCGTACACCTGTGCGCGGTAGCAGGCCATCTGCTGCTTCTTCTCCTTGGCTAGGTCATAGTCCTCCTTCTCCACCGCACAGCGCTTCTCCACCTCGTATCGCCCCAGACGCTCGCCCACCTGCAGCACAGGGTGTCTGCTGCTTCAAACCACGTCTGCAAAGACCACAGCTGGAGGGGAGCTCACGAGGCAGAGACTGAGTGTGAGGTGTGCGGGGAGGGGTCAGCGCAGAAATGGGAAAGGCCACACTCTCTGCAACAGCAGCGCTGCGCACTGCTGTCCTGGTGCCTGATAAAGCCAGAAATCCACCCGAGCTTCTGAGCACGTCCTCTACCACTTCTGGCAGTAGCAAGGGTCCTGCTCAGCACAGTGGCGGCCACGTGTATCCTCAAAGTGCTCATCCCTCCTTACCTCTCCCTGGAGAAGACCTTAGACCCCATGCCAACCCACAGCTGGCAGAAACCCGCTGCTCTGTTATAACTAAGAGGCCATCCACCGGCAGAGGAGTGGGCTCACAGAGGCAGTACCTTCTGCAGGTCAGCGATAGCCTGCTTCAGTTTCTTGGCGTGATCATAACGCTCCCTTTGGACAGCTTCCCGCTTCCTTTCATCCAACTTGCGGATGATCTGTGCAACCTCGGGGTCTTGGTACATGTCAAAAGCCAAGTCGTCCAGTGGAGAGATATAGTCAGACCTCCTAGGGGAGAAATGCATGTGGCAGGGCTTGTTCCTCTCCAGGGGATGCTGCTGTGGCCGGCGAGCCTTGGTGCTCCATGATGAGCAGTCTTGGAGAAAGTGCCAGCCACCCCTGCATCTGGCACTTCCTATGTCAGGGAGCCAGGGCTCCGAGAAGTCATCAGGGGCCTCTCTGACACCCAGCCCTCCTCCACCTGATCCCCTCAGGCTGCAGCCCTTGGAGATGGGAGGGCTCTGGGGAAGGGGGCCGCTGCCTGGGCACAGAGCTGGCCGGCGGCAAACGGCTCCCGAGCACCTGCACAGACAGCCTACTCCATGTTTTGTGCAATGGTTCAAATGTTAACAACATCCTGTTAGCAGACTCCACTGACACTCAGGTGAAGTGAAATCACACCCCCAAATTATGGACAGATTTGAAACTTCTATTAAAATTTAAAATGTTTCATCTCTTCTTTACTGGTAAGCTGCTGTCAGAGAAGAGGAACCAGTGCTGTTTTGAATTCCTTTTCTCTTTAGACTGGGGCATCTTTGGGACAGGGCCCTATGCTCTCATAAACACTGTGTAAACACTGTGTGCCCAAAGATGCAGCTGGGAAAGAGAAGGTGACGGACGCAGCAGGTGGGCAGCTGTGGGAGGCTCTTCAGCTCCCCGACTCTTGACCCACCAGGGTCTTCCCACTGTGAGGGGGAAAAAAGAGGGACAGCAAAAGTAAAGCGTACTCAACTGTCACTGTGAAGAGTGACCCAACAGGGAGGGGGTGCTGTAAAGCCGCTCTGCCAAGCTGCCCTGGTGTGAATTTAATTTTAAAGAAGCCAAAAAATAAAGTCTTGAGTGATTGATAATTTGGGCCAAATAGTGTCTTTGAATTTGCCTGTGCCAGTGAAATGTCAAAGGACAGAGGACGAGCTCAACAACAATGCACTGTAGGGGCCTCAGCCTGTCTTGGACGTCCACAGCCCAAAGAACTAAAGAACCCGATGGCCTTGCTCTTGCTGTGCATGGAGACAACCCAGTCAGGGGCTCATCCAGCTCCAGACTGCATTTAGACACCTCTGAATGCAGAATCCATTAGCAAGGAGACACTGGTGACTCTGAGGAAGGTCATGCTAGATAGCATCCTGCCAGGGCCAAGAGGTGGGGAAGGCACTTACCCAGCGTAAGTCCCCTCTAGGGCTGGATCCTCCGGGTTGTGCCCAAGATAATGATCAATCAACTTCTCTCTAGAGGTCTTCAGGAGCAAAATGTCTGCTTAGGATTTCGGCACACAGGCACAACATGAAATCCTAACTTCATGATAATCTGATAGGAAGGTCAGCAAGATGTGGCAATCCTATTCTTTTGGAGAGACAGCTAAAATTCTTAAGTAAAAGGTTATTAGACTATGGCTGCTGAAATTATCTGACAACGATTCGCTATATTTATAAATACTTTGAAAATGATACTTTCTGCAATGAAAATAAATGATCCCATTAGAAATACATATTCTTTCTTAGGAATTAAATGGCTCAAACTTACAATATTGCTTTCATCACCAAAATCTGCAGGGTCTCCAATGATATTTACTGCAACCAAAGCAACCTAAGGAGAAGTTAAGTAAACAGAAATAAGCATAAAATAAGTTTAAGAGGCCTTCAGCCCTTTATAACAAATTCTGACTTACACTGTTATCAAATGGGGAGATGACACATACCAAAGTGTGTAAACCATGAAGTGTTACGCTAACATACAGGACATTGTGTTTTTGTTGTTGTTGTTCATACAAAGGATTGAACCCAGGGGTGCTTAACCACTGAGCCACTTCTTTAGCCTCTTTTATTTTTTATTTTGAGACAGAGTTGTTAAATTGTTTAGGGTCTTGCTAAATTGCTGAGGCTTGCTTTGAATTAGCAATCCATCCTCTTGCCTCAGCATGATTGTCGCTGGGGTTACAGGCCCAGCTCAACATCATCCATTTTCAAGTAAATTACATAAATTAGTATTCAAATGCTTACCCAAGTGCCTATTTCAACTGTTTAAAGCATGTTAAAACAATAGTAGCTAAACACTCCCGAAGTCATCACAGCCTATAATAAACTCAAGGTTGAGGTCAGGGGTCATAACCATATGATAAATTTAAGACCATGAAAGGAAAACAGAGATTAATGTGGCTGAGGTTATCGGGTCACTGATCCTCCACCGCAGGGGAGGAGTCACTTTCGCATCACCATCCTCATCGCTGAGAACCACTTTGGCCTCAGTGCCTAATCAGGGTGTTACCTATGAACACAGCAGGTGACATGGAGCAAGCAAAGAAAGGCAGGCATGGCTCTCGCAGTGTCCTGCCAAGTCATGCTGCCACGGTAGCCTAGTAAGCACTTCCAACTTGCTCACTTGGTACAAGGTGTGATTTCTTGGAATGCTTGTATTTTTTTTTTTTATTTTAATTTTTTTCAAGTAGATGGACAATGCCTTCATTTATTTTTATGTGGTGCTGAGGCTCAAACTCAGGGCCTCACACATGCTAGGCAAGTGCTGTACCACTGAGCTACAGACCCAGCCCAAGAATGTTTGTATTCTTGGAGGGGCAGGGAATGTTGTAATTATTTGTCAATAAGACTGCTTTGGACACAATTGATTTCTAATTCATTTATCAAAAGAAAGAGTGGGTGGGAGAGGATTAAGAGTCAGCTGCTGGAGCCAAGAGCCCCCAGGCAGGCCCCCAGTGTCTACCAGAGGTTTGTCTCCTGTCAGCTGCAAGGGTTCATCTAGAACAGTGCTGTCCACAGGGGTGCAGTGCCGGCTGCACAGCCATTGTTTTCTAGCAGACACACTGAAGGAATGGAAAAGAAAGAGGTGGGAGTGATTTTTGTCAAAATATTAACCCACTACATGCAACTGACACAAAAGCTTCCATGGACACTCTTACATTCCTTTCCAGCTGAATCTAGAGCGCTACGGTCATACATTAAAGGTCTTCCTTAGAAGAGAGGCCTGAACATGCAAGTGAGGACACCTGGGCAGGCGCAGGGGCAGGCGCAGAGGCAGGCGCAGAGCTGCAGGTGCAGAGGCGCTGTGCTCACCTGGTTATAGGTGTTGTACTTGTTGATATGGTTCTGGTGGAATATCAGCTTGAGAAACTGCCCCACGGCGTCCACATACACTGACTTGAGCTCGCGGGCTTTGCAGCCAGTCTTCTGGTTATCACAGAGGGAGACGTAGCTGAAAGGCAACACAGTGGAGAAGGCGTCCACTCAACAACAACCCACCCCTGGCTCCTGCTGGACTCAGCAAGCTTAAATAAAAGCTGAGCTTGGGATGGCAGCCTGGGAAAAAGCCCCAGATTCCAGTTAGTGTTTCTGAAAAGCTCTCTACCTGCAAAGCACAACTGGCTGTGGGCATCAGGAGATATGATCACCCGGCGGTTCAGCCCACCCAATCCCTGGCAGGTGTTGGCAATGCCACATTGGACCCAATGTAAGGGGTAATTCACTGATTCTTAAGAGCTCTTAGGTAGACTTGGTCAGGCTAAAAGTCACCATTAAAATTTTGCATTTCATTCTTACCCAAGTCTGCGAAATCGCTCCGCTTGGTAGGGTACAAAATACTCAGGCAAGCTTTCGCTAATATAGAACTCGATTTTGCTTGAGATCATGTACTGGTGTGCAAGCAGCTGCAGCTTTCTTATTCGACACCTCTCTACCATCTGAAGAACAATTTCTTGTGGGAATTGGCAGAATCTGAAAGCAAAGACATCTTTGTTTTTCTGAGCCATGACTGCAGAGTCCCCAGATGCTGTGCTGCCAGCCTCAGCAGGTGAACCCATGGAGCTGTGGGGGCCAAGCCACAGGGCGCAAGAGGAGAGGCTGTGACACTCTGCCCTTCTTGGAGCTTTTTGGGGCAGAGCCAAAGGATGGCCCTGGGTGGTCCATCTGTCAGTTACCCAGCACAAACCCGACTCCTGGCAGCTGTAACCACAGCTCAAGTGGACCTGAGGTTCACTATGGGACAGATGAACCCATCTCAAGGGGCTGAGTAGTGGGCAAGGTAGAGCCCAAGATTTTCCCACAGGAGCTAAGTACTTGATAAACCCCCTGGTGACGGCCTGTGCAGGCATGGAACCTTCAGAAGGGACTTGGAGGGCACACTGGAGTCCAGCCTCTGCTTCCCTGGCCTCCGGGAGCTGGACAGGCTCCTCCAGCCTGGGCTTTTCCCTGCCCCATCACAGGCCCCGAGCAGTAGGCTGAGTGGCCACAGACCGAAACCTCTGTGAGCTAGAATAAACCTTTCGTCAACTTGTTCACGGAATCTGAGGACCTGCCACAAGTGCACCATGCTCTCGGAGAAGCCAGGCTGGGTGCTTCTAATTTTGCTCAGAAGTACACAAGACACTAGGCAGCGAGAAGGGATTAGAGAACCGTGTCAGCCAGCACCGACTTTCAGGTACTGCACGGCCAGGATGGCGGCAGAAGGACCTACATTAGCTAACAAGCATGTGGTAACAGGACCGTGGAGGTCCCCAGGCCCATGAGTTGAGGGATGGGGTGGTCGGGAGTGTGTCCAGTGCCCTGCGGGTGTGCTTCTGGATGTGTGGCAGCCCCGCACCTCACCCAGGAAACACACACGGCAGGCTCTGCTGCCCAGCGCAGCAGCTTCCTGCCGGGTGCCCTCAGGCCCACTGGCCCATAGCAGCAGAGCCTGTTCTCCTGACCAGCACTCACAGCACACACACAGTCCAGAAAGTCCCAGCTCAAGAGCATATCCAATGACTCGGTGTCCCTCTTCAGGGGTTTCCCATTCTTTCCAAATGTCATGCTGCCTGAAGCCACCACCACTTTCTCAAACCCTTCCCCTGTGCCACTGCCCACAGGTCACCGGATGAAGGCCACCATGGACTTCTTAAAGCCAAGTGCCATGTCTCCTCCTCGGCTGTGACCTTGCTCTGCTACACAGTTGCCCACATTGCTCAAACCCTCTACTTGGCTCCAGTGTCCTTGATGCTACCCCTTTCTAGTCCTCCTACCTCCTTAGCTCCCTCCCCTGGTCCTCAGCCATGAGTTTGAAAGGTCCTGTTCACGAGGGAGCCTTGCCCGGACACCACCCTGAGTGACCCACACCCAGTGGGAGAGCCACAGCTCCACACAGACATCTAAAGGCCTGGAGTGTGATGTGGAAAACAAATGCTGACCCCACCTCCCCACCCACCCCAGGGTCCAGGCCTCATCCACGAGCTTCTACCAGGTATCCTCTGTGACACTGCTGGAGAGCCCAGGCCGGCAAGGAGCTGTGGTACGTTTCCTGCTCCCTGGAGACCGCAGTGGGGCATCCCTCCACCTGCCATTAGCTGCCCCTGAACACACTTTCTGTAGTGGTGGTGACAGAGTGTCTGGTCCTGTCTTCAGGACTCCTGGCTGGAAGATATTTTCTTTTGCCTTCTTGCCATGTGCTTGACTTTGGGACAGTCTGTGTGGTGACCAGGAGTACACACATTATTTCCTTTGGAACATGTCTCCTTTCTTCTGAAAGTACATTACTAACATGCCCCAAAAGAAATACCAAGCCACGAGGCATGGTGAGGCACAACTGACATTCCAGAGGCTCGGGAGGCCGAGACAGGAGGATTGCAAGTTCAAGGCCAGCCGGGTAACTTGGCAAGACCCTCAGCAACTTAGCAAGACCCTGTCTCAAAAATAAAAAAGGACTGGGGATATAGCTCAGTGGTAGAGCACCCCTGATGTGAGTGCTGGTCAATCCCCAGTAACAACAACAAAAACAATAGCAAAATAAAAAACACTACTACGTCACTATACAAAGGCATCATAGGCTTCATATTAGTGTTATTGTTATAAATATTACCAACAGGGTAACTATTTATTTGAAAACCTTAAAGTACGTAAAATCACCGAACAGGGCTGGGGCTGTGGTTCAGAGGTAGAACACTCTCCTGGCAAGCGCGAGGCACTGGGTTCGATCCTCAGCACCACATAAAAATAAAATACATTGTATCCACCTACAACTAAAATAGATAGATAGATAGATAAACACACACTGAACAAAAGCAGTCAGCGACAGGACCTCTGTGGAAGGGTAAGGGAGGTTCCCTCGCACTCTCCATCAGGGAACCCTGGGAAGTGGAGGTGAGGCTACTGGCGGGTGCTTCTCCCGCCCTCCTGCCTTGGGCTTCACAATATATTTCTGCCCTCAGTGCCATCAGCAATTGGGTGCTTTTGCATCCCTACCTGCTTTGCTCTATTTAATTTCAACTCCCTCAGGACTTGGGCAGGGAAAGTGAGCCTGTTTTTTGGGTACCCTAAGAAATCAAAGAGGAAAATAAAATTTAATTTTAAATGTGATTTACATTCAGTTTTCAGCAGGACACAACAATATGATTGAATTGCAAATGCCCTACATATTTACAGGTTTTTCAGTTAGATTCCTGTGGATTGAAACAGAGACAAGGACCCTGGAGGTATTGAGCATTAAGCAGGTCCATGGAGCCTGCTCAGCACAGCTAGGTGGTGTGCTGGTGAAAAACACAGGCCTCTTGAACCAAGCAGATGCTTCAAAACAATGTAAGACACACACTCAAATAATAAACATTCTTATAAACATGTACAAATGTTCAAGAGAAATTTGAAAGAGACCCTGGCTGAAACCTGTTGTCACATAAAAGCAATTAGAGGCAAAAATCTTTCCCTGTAGGTGCCTAACCACAAGACCAAAAAAGTGTGCAAACACAGCCTTTGCTCAGAAAAGGGATGAGAATGCATCACCCAGCATGTGGTAGGAGAGGGTCAGTGGTGACGCAGCTCTGCTTTCTCTTCTGTAGTTGCTCACTTCCTGAGTGTGGGCTAATGGTAGAAGGGAAAGGGCCAGCATATCTTTTTTTTTCCCCCTTTGGTGCTGAGGACTAAAATTAGGGGTGCTCTACCACTGAGTTATGACCATGCAGCCCTTTTTTTGATTTAATTTTAAGACAAGGTCTCTCCAAGTTACCAAGGCTGGCCTTGAAAGTGCACTCCTCCCGTCTCCCAGGTTGCTGGGATTACAGGTGTGTGGGATCACACTCAGCCAGGCCAGCAAATAAACGTAAACAAAAAGGAAAGGAATCCCATCACAGAACTAGTCACGTCACACTGCTGCACACTGTGACCACTCTGTGGTTCGTGATGTCCAAGTTACTGAAAGGGATCCATCTGCAGATCAGGAACTGGTGCATCCCCCAGCCCAGCCTCACCCAGCCTCACCTTGGAGACCTCCACCCACTGACAGTTGGTGCGTGGATCATCAGTTCTCGGGCACTGAAGCCATCCTCGTGTCCAGAAGAGCTGACCACGACGAATCCGATCTTGTGGGGCATTCTGCAGGCTTGGGCTGTTTAGAAGAGGGAGACTTTTTTAAGGAATCCACTAACACAACACCTGAGGTATCAGTTCACACTTGGATGATGTACGCAAGAATTAACAAAGCATTTAGATTTCTCCATCATGTTGGAAGAGTCCAGTTTTTCTGTGTAACACTTTTCTTTGGGGGTGGTGCTGGGAATTGAACCCAGAGCCTTAACATGCCAGGTAAGAGCTCTACTATCCCAGCCTTATCAAACACTTTTTATAAATACTTCTGATTTTACTTAAAGTACCACTTAAGATTTTCCCCCAAATTTGAATTTATTTATTCAAGTTTGACCTGTACTGTGAACTGAATTGTGTCCTCCAAAGACATGTTCAAGTCCTACCTTTGCTACCTGTAAATCTGACCGAATTTCAAAACAGGGTCTCTGTAGATGTAACCTAGTTAAAATGAAGTCCCAAGGGTACACCCAATCCAATGTAACTGGTCTTTTTAAGAAGGGAGAAGGGGCTGACGGTGTAAAACAATGTAGAGCTCTTGCCCAGCACATGCGGGGCCATGGGTTTGACTACAGCACTACAAGACAGCAAACCAGCAAAACACACACACACACACACACACACACACAGTGAGGATATCAGGCAATACCACGGGGGCAGGCGCGTGGCAGGGTCTACAGCACAGAGTGCCAGGGACTGCTGGAAACCATCAGAAGCTGGAAAAACAGGAAGGATCCTCCAGAGTCTTCAGAGGATGTGGCCCTGAGGGCACTCCAATTTAGACTAAAGCTCCAGAATAAATTTCTATTGTTTAAGCCATTCAGTTTGTGAAACTTTCTCACAGTAAAAACAAGTTATTTGCTAGGGTACAAACACATTTTTTTTTTTGGAGGGGGAGGGTTAGGAAACCAATAGAACCATGTTAACTAGTTCTCAGTAACAAGCGGGGAAAGGCAACCTATTCACTAGCATAATAATTGCTGTGTAAAAAACGTACAACCAGGAGGAAAGCAGGAGTCTCAGATGCAAGGAGTAAAAGACGCACAGCTGGCTGGCTCATAGGCCATCTAGAACACCAGCCAAATGACTGCTATCATGGCTTTCAGTGAACCTGACCTTGACCTGATTCAATACCACCTGGAAGGTGCCTACTGAGCTGTGTTGGCCGTGTGGCACCGTGTCACTGATCTTAATTAATACACTCTGTGACAGCACCTAGACTCACACATTGGACCTTTAAGTCCAAATACAAGAGTACCTCCACTTTACCATGGTACCCCAATAAATCCAAACAAAGTACTGGCCCTGGAGAAACAGGCAGGAGGAAAGCACCAGCACTTGAAGGGATGTTGCAGCCTCAGTGTGGGCATCTGAAAAGCCTGAAGATCTCTGCATAAACATTCAAGTGTCACATGAGACGCTGCTAGGCTCTGTAAGAGCCACCACGGACTTTGACAGAACCCTGCTCTGTGGTACTGGCTGATCTTCACCAGACACTGCAGCCCCAGAGACAGGAATGAGCAGCCCAGCAAGTGCCAGTTGACACTTCTCCCCAGGCCGGTGACGCTCCTGCTCCCTATACTTAACCTCCAGCCGGCACGATAAGCTACAAATTAGATGAAACTCAATTTAGCGACTTCCAAAGGCTGTGCTAGGAAACAATTTCTTTTCGTTTCTTTTAAAAATTACACAATAAAATAACAACTTTGAGTCAAATAATTGTAAGACTGAAGGGGCTTCGGAGAAATCTGACACTTAGTAAGTAAGCTCTCCCGCCCCTCGCCAAGGCCCAAGTTCAACCTATGCAGGGCCAGAACCACGTTCTTCCATCCTCGGCAACCGGCCCGGCCCGGTCCGCTCCGCGTGCAGCGAGCGCCGGCGGAGGAAAGGCCGCCGGGGCGGGCGGCGCCGGTGCTCCCGCAGGCCCGGGCAGGACCCCGCTGGCCTGCGGCTGCCGGCGCGGCGCGGACGGGAGTCCCGGCGGGTACCTGCGGAGACGCGAGAGCTCGGCGCTGCCGCCCGGGGCGCGCGGGGGGTGGAGCGCGGCCGACGTTCTACGGTCCCGCGCGGGCCGTCGCTCCCTCTGGCGGAGTTCGGGGGGCGCCGCCGTCGCCGTCCCCGGCTCCGGCCGCCTCAACCCCAGGCTGCGGTGGCAGCCGAGAAGCAGCCCGGGCCGCCTCCACCCAGCGCCCGGGACGCAGCCCCGCTGTCATGACAACCGGGCCACTTGCGCCCGCGCGCCCGCCTCCCGAGCCTGCGCCTGCGCACGAGAGCAAGCCTCGGGTTCGGGCGGTGCCTGCGCCTGCGCACGGGGGCTGGCCTCCCTTCCAGATCGCTCCTGCGCCTGCGCACGGGGGCAGGCCTCGGTTCCGGGTCGCGCCTTCGACTTCGCGCGGGGGCAGGCCTCGGTTCCGGGTCGCGCCTGCTCCTGCGCCTGCGCACGAGCGCGCGCGAGAATTCCGGAGCTTCTCCGCTGAGCGAGAAGTGTCTGGTTTTCCGGGATCCTTACCGGGATGTGCGCTGTGGTCAGCCAGCTCAAGACCGTCAGGCTGCGGGCCTTGCGCAGCGCACAGAAGTTCGGCGTGGCAGGCCGGAGCTGCCAGGAGCTGCTGCGCAAGGGCTGCCTGCGCTTTCAGGTCCGCAGGGACTCGCAAAGGGTGCTGGTTGCTGCGCGCACTGTCCAGGCGCGGCCAGGGGAGCGCGAGTCAGCGGCAGTGGGGTCCGCGAGGGCCGCACCTGCCGCCCGCTGCAGCTGGGGTCGTGCAGCGTGTACCTGCACGGCGCTGAATGGCCCCCGCGTCCCTCCGCCCCAGCCTGTCCTTCGGCAGAGCGAAGGCCTGGGTCACTGCCGTCGGGGCATCCCATCCATGGGGACAGGTTTTTTTTTTTTTTTCCCTGAATGGGTGTAGACCCTCGCTGGGAACATGCATGAGCACGTGGGCGGCGGCGGGGAGTTGCTGGAGTGTTGAGGGACCAGGTCCCGAAGACTGGCAGTGAGGCTGTGCGCAGACTGGGTCACGGGCTCTGGGGATGCACTCAGGCACCAGTTCCAAACAGGCTAGCGTTTTACGTGCCCTCGAGGAGTTCGTTTTAGAAGGGCGAATCCGCACTGCAAACGGCTTCCAGTTGGCATGTCTCAGGCACCTTGGCTGTAGTGCCAGTTTGGACGTGCACCCAGACGGTCCTGAACTGGGTTCCTGAACAGCTCGCGCCTTTTGTTTGGGAGGCCAGCAAACAGCAGCTCCTCTGCGCTCTAGCCTAAGCGTCCTGCTCCTCCTGCTTCCCTAGCTCCCCGTGCAGGGCTCTCGGCTATGCCTATACGAGGATGGCACCGAGGTGACTGAAGACTACTTTCCGGGCCTCCCTGATGACGCCGAGCTCGTGCTGCTCACCGAGGGCCAGACATGGCAGGGCTGTAAGTGCAAACCTTGGAGATGGGCGGGAAGCCGCACCGAGGCCCAGTCCAACTGAGTTTTCGGTCCTCTTGCTTGGGAGCTGGGTTGTTCAGTTGATTGTCTTTTTTTTTTTTTTTTTTTTAAATTTAATTTTTTACTGCTAACAGGCAGAGGCTGAGGCTGAGGCTGCAGTTTTGTGGGTATTGGGAGCCAGGGAGAGAGCTGTGAAGGCTGGGGTCTTGCTGCTTCTTTTGGCAGGGCAGGGCGGGGCGGGGCCCATCTGTGTACCTGGCTGTTTTCTAGTAGTGTTTGCTGAGACGTTGTCTGCAGGGCTTATGTTGAGGGCTGTCTTATTGGACACTTGCTCCAACAGGTGGTTCTTTAGGGATATCTGAATTGAAGGCCTGGGGTGTGATTCTTAACTTGGTGGACAGCAAATCTGCACTGTTTGTGTTACAACCCAGCATGGAGAGTTTCTTACCCCTGGTGGAAGTCTCCTTGGAGTGCCAATCCTCTGGGGGGTTCCTCTATAAAGGATATAGAGATGGGTGTCCTAGGAAGGATGGGGTGTTCCCAGGGGCTTAGTCCTGCCTCCTCTGCCGAATGGGAGAGAGAAGCTGAAGAGTTTGTCCACATCTCCAGGCTGCAGGGTAGGGGCTCACTGCCAGCATGAAACATCTGGACACAATCACCATAATGTCACCTGGGATGGCCCTTTGTGGGAGGCAGGAACTGGACACCTCTGGATCTTTCCTTTTCTTCCCTGGTTCCTGGTATAGTTTGAAAAAAAAATGCCACAGGCTGCTGTCTGTGCCACCTACCTCCCAGTCTTTGTCTCCTTTGTCTCTCTCAAGTCTCTCGTGGTTCTGTCTTCTCTCTATCTTCCTTCCTCTACCAAGACCTTTCCTAGGAAGACTTGTAAAGAAATGTTGAACATTAAAAACAAACAAAAAAATAAAAACAAAAAAACCCCACAGTGATTCTCAGGAACTTGCAAAGATAGGAAGGTTCCACGCACCTTTTACCACTTGTCCCAAAGTCACTTCTGACATGACCCTAGCACAGCGTCTAACCCAGGAAGCTGACCCTGGGGCCACGTCTGTGAACTACTGCGATGACTCCTGGAACTACCTGTTCAGTCGAGGTGCAAGGTACTTCCACTCGTCATGATCCTCCTGGTGCTGCCCTTTTATGATCCTGCCTGTCCCCATCTATCGAAGTCATTGCCCCTGGTGACCACTCATATGGTCCATCTCTATAATTTGTCATTTCAAGAATACTAGGTGGATGGAATCGTGTGATGTACGGCTTTCTGGGATGGGTCTTATTTATCTAAGTGTTGAGTGTCAGTGGTCCACTCTTCCCCATTGTGTGACTTGGTTGTACCACAGTTAGCCTCACCTTTCGCAGGCTGGGGGACATAAAGCTGCTGTGAGCAGTCATGCCCAGGTTTTTGTGTGGATGTGTATTTTCATTTCTCTGGGAAAGATGCTCAGGAGTGCAGTGCTAGGTCATATGGTTAGCATGTGTTTAGTTTTTAAAGATAAGAATGTTCACTCCTAGCTGGGCACAGTGGCGCACACCTGTAATTCCAGTGGCTTGGGAGACTGAGACAGGAGAATCGCTAGTTCGAAGCCAGCTTCAGCAACGGTGACCCTGACTCTAAATAAAATAAAAAATAGGCTGGGGATGTGGCTCAGTGGCCAAATGCCCCTGAGTTCAATTCCTGGTACCCCCAACAGCACACAAAAAATGTTCACTCTTGCCACTTTCATTTATTGTTGTATTGGAGGTACAGTGCTAGGACAGTTAAGAAACAAGGCCCTCAGATTGGAAAAGAAGTACTCTCCCTGCAGAGGTGCACTGTTGTAAGTAGGAGTCCTCAGGGATCCATTAAAAACACTTAGAACTAAGAATGGAGCGTAGCAAGCTGCACGATATGAGAGCAGTATACAAAGCCACTTGTATTTCTATCCACATACAGAGGGCAATCTGGAAATGAAATAAGGAAATTAATCTAGTTTATAGTAGCATCAAAAAGAATAAAATACCAGGAACAAATATAACAAGAGAAGCATAAAACTTTGGGCTGGAGTTATAGCTCAGTGGTGGAGCACTTGCCCAGCACACGTGAGGCATTGGGTCTGATTCCTCAGCACCACATAAAAATAACGTATTGTGACCATCTACAACTAAAAAAAGAAAAAGAATTAAAAAAAAAAAAAAAAGAAGCATGTAACTTTTATTCTGAAAACTACAAAACATCAAAAGAAATTTAAGGTGGGAGTAGATGGAAAAGCAGCTCATATGTGTGGATCAGACAAACCTGATACTGGTGAGGTGGCAGTACTCTCCAAACAGGTCTTCAGATTCAGCACAGTCCCCAGGGAATTCCAGCTGCTCCTTTACAGAAGTTGACATGGTGATTCTGATTTGTAATTCATGTGGAATCACCAGGGACTCAGAATAACCTAAACAATCTTGAAGAAGAGCACAGGAGGACTCACGCTTCCCACAGTGGTGACCAAGACCATGGTCCTGGCCAGGGGTGAATGTGTAGATGAGTAGAATGGAGAGCCCAGAAGTAAACGTGGTCACTGTTTCGACAGGGGTGCTGAGAGTAGTCAGTGGGGGAAAAATAGTCTCTTCAGCAAGAGGTGTGGACATAACTGGACAGTCACACAGAATGAATGTAGTACATGCAAAAATCAACTTAAAATGGATTATGACCTAAATGTAAGAAGTAAAACCCAAAACACTTAGAAGAAAACAGGAATAAAACCTTCATGACTTTGGGTTTGGCAAAGGATTCTTAGATGTGATACCGAAAGCATGAGCCATAAAGGAAGAAACAAATTGGTCGTCATAAAAACTAAATAACTCTGTGCTTGTCTTTCTGCTCTTCTTAACAGTGTCTTTTGCAGAGCACATTTTAATTTTTCATGAAATCCAATTTGATGGTTGCTACTTCTCTGATTCTGCCTTTGGTATCAAGTCTAAGAAACCCCATTGAACCCTGGGCCCTAAGGTTCCTTCCTGCTGTGGAGAGGTGGGTCTTGTGGGTTAGTTTTGAAAACTGAACCAGGCTTGACTCCCCACTTGGCCTCCCTGTGCTCCTCTTTAGAATCCCTGGACCCTGTGGCGATATTCTGATAGGGCCCTTGGTGGCTGGTCTCTCTTGACCCTGAGAGCTTGTGGGAGAGCGCCCTGCCCTGGGAGTTGTGCAGACCTCTGCTCCAGGGCAGGAGGGAGGGTTGGGAGGTCTGAAGAGGGGTCTCCAGGGAAGGCCCTCAGAAGGGGGTGGTTCAGTTTAGAAGAGAGGAGGCCAAAAGGAGAGCAGGGGTGCTCAGGAGGAGGTGCTTTCACTCCCTGACACACGTCCCTATGGGGGCAGAGGGCGGGAGCTGGTGTGTAGTTGGCTGCTGGATACAGCCGGCCAGGAGGAGGGCCTGGACCCCTTGAGTCTGAATTCTAGCAATCCCCAGGCTGAGGGATTGAGGCCTGCTGAAGTTGGATCTGGAATGTCCCTGAAGGCACAAGTTGAAGGCTTGATCCCCAGTGCAGTGGTGTCCATTGGTGGGGCTTTGGATTGGATCCCAAGGGTTCTGATCTCATCAGTGGGTTAATCCACTAGGGAGCTCACAGCTGAGTGGGCTCTTGGAGGAGTGGGGCCTAGTTGAAGAGAGTGGTCCTTGGGGGTCTCTGCTCCCTGGATGCCATGAGGTGACAGCTCCACTCTGCCAGGCCCCTGTCCATGATGCTGTGCCTCACACAGGCCCACAGTAGTGGACAGAACTGACCATGGACTGAAACCTGCAACCAGGAGCCGGAAGA